ACATCACCTCGGTATTAAACTTTGCCAACAAGGCGGCCTCGGGACCTTTAGCTTCCAAGCCAGTGCCACCTTTATGCACGGAACAAGCTATCGGGCTGTTACTCGTGTCAGTAATCAAAATCAAACCCAGATAACCGCTACGCGAACGCCCTGCCTACCGAAAGTCAATCACATGACTCACGTGCGTTTTGGGACCCTAAGGCTGTTTCCAATACCCAGGTTGTCTGCAATCGTGGCCTTGGCTATTTCCTTTTTGGGTCGTAGACGATCGCATCTGGAATAAAGTGACATGCCTATCTGACTGGTCCTTGCTCCAGTGCTGAAAAAGTGGCCTTACAAGTAGCTAAAATTCATTGTTGCCGAGGCGATGTTTGTAAAACTTTTGAAAGAGACTTTAGCTAATCAAATACAGCGATTCTGTAACATTCGAATGACAGGTTCATCAGCTGACTTACCTGTCCGGGTAGAATATTAAGCACTTTCCCATACCCACACTCAAACGTGGCTTTGCACTCATTTCTTCTACCAACCCCTCAATTCTAACACTGAAAGAAACCGCTTGACTTATGATTGAAGAGTCTAATTGCATTGGCTTATTTCTGTCCGAACTTGCACTTTCAGCTCGTGATCAAACGCTAAGGCGGATTGCGAACACAGGCTGCTAATCTTCTTAATTCGTTTTTAATAATCGAGATGAAATTTTGAATTTGCGTAAATAATATCGTATAAGCGCTTTCTGGATTTTCGAGACAGCTAATAACAACAACGATTAAAGCTCCTTCCACACAGCCATCAGCGAATGGGGATTTTAGAAATCTCGAAGCAAAACGACTGCCGTGGAGAAAACGCCAAGAGGGATCATTAACACACGACAAATGCCATACTTCTGTGTGTTAAACTTCTCAAGTGGGAGAAAAATTGCTGCTTATTGGCGCATTAAAGACCCAGGAGGGTAGAATTCATTTGACGCCAAAAGCACCCACAACAGACCGCGGCTGCTACTTTTTTTCAAAAGTAGAGCATGTGAGGTCGTGAATAAAACTGGACGTTTTTCGATAACAACAACAATTTTATGCATTAGTTAACCAATGCCTTTGAAATGGTGGTCAAAATTAATGAAGGTCGATTGATCTCTCAGAGGTCAGCATCGCTGTGGGAAATGAAGAAATAAACAAATGGGTATGGGTGTGCACCCACCCCTTTCCAGACACTGCCTAACACAAGACCATTTTTGTCTGGTTAGAATTTCTCGAATTAAAATGAATGTCCCTTCAAGTTTCAGTCATTTGTTCCTTCTTACGATGTAAACGTAATCACAAGTTGTTGGACTACTTAATGATCTGTCTGTGCTTGTTCTCGGCGAGAGAATGCATATGAAATGTAGAGAAATGGTTTAGTATATTCGTGCTAACAAAAATCCACTACCCAAGCTTACCCCACAAACGCGAAATTCCTATGAAAGCTAATGATAAGGCTCTCTCGTCAGCTTAACCACGCAACCATGCAGCACTCCCACACAGGCCCCATCTCTTGGGAGTTTAAACCGAGGCGCTGGTTAGGTATGACAAATACCTCAGCAGATTTGATTGGTTGGTTCTCACTTTCGAGGATCACGTTCGTACCAGGATCGATAGCGCACGCAATAGGCATTGTTTCCTGTGCCTCCTATAAGGCAATACTAAACTATATGTGTGGTATGTGTGCAGTTGCAATTTATTTCATAGTATCTAGAGCCGTAAGTGTACGTAGGCTTCTAACCATGCACTCACTTCATGCACAAACTTTAATTCTAAGGTGAATAAAATGCCACAAAACCAAATGCGAGTCTTGAAGAAGCGAACAGTCAAGCCAGTGAGTATTGTACCAATTCAAGGCGAAGCAGCTGTAAATTTTATGAAATATTGTAATCTGTGGACTCAGGTTTCTTTACTGCTACCTGAAAGGGCATTTTAATTGTTGGTTTCCCAACATTGACCGGCACACCTAACTACAATTAGGGACTTAAACTATTATCAAGTTTGTGTGATCTACTTGACGGCGTGTGCCAAGGTCCAAACACTTATTTCATTTCCCCATATATCATTTCAGCCGGTGTCAGTAGTCGAACAGTTTGAAAAGGCTCCAATGGCTTTCTTGCTTTAAGGAACAAGGGAGTAACATGCAGAAGAGAAACCTTGGGACAATACGCATCACCCACACAACTGCTCCCTTCTGGGAAAACATATGATTTTCGGTCGTAATCGGGAGCAAAACAAATTTATGATAATCAGCTTCACTTCTTCCATGGACAGGGCCGCGTAGTGGTTCGGGTCTAACCCGGTGTCTGCCACATGCACGTAACAGTAATTCCGTAACTCTCGATGGAACCCGACTTGTCGCTGGGTCGTGCGTATTAACTCAGCAAAGCAAAGGCATCCACAACCATAACAACAATGCCACTGCTCACAAATTAAGATGTTTTCCGTATCATGTTGTGTGCTCAGGACTCTAAGGCTTAAATGGATCAGAAAGTAAGTTCTCACTCAGAGCTCTTGGCTCAGTAGCGAGGTTGGATTTTATCGTTCGAGGAAGAGTCAAGGCTGACCCTACCCCGAACATCCAGTCGGCCCCTCCTCACGACGGCAAGAAGGTTTTGTACAGTTCCAGCACTTCGCAGAGACTTGCTTGTTAAGCGCAGCAGAGTTCAGAACGGGTAACCGCTCTCACTAGTTTCTTTAAGTCCGGGGGAGGATGATGGTTTGGAGAAAGTGGTTGGGACTTGAATTAGCTTTGCATTCACAGCTGTCCTCATAGCTCTGGCCGGTGACATGCTGTGGGCATGGCATTCACCTTGAGAATATGTTTCTTTTTCCAATGTGGACAGAACAGCGTCGAGTGGCATTGTGCAGGAATGGAGTGCACCTTAGTGCATCCAAAGTACTAAGCTGATGAAAACGGCTAATCGAGGAGACAAGTAAGGCCTCCTTGAAAGTGGTCATGGGAAAAGATGATTAACACCTCAAAATTGAGTGTTGAGAAATAACGGGATCGCGAAAATTGCAAGTGTGACTGAAAATCTCAAAAAAATTGGCCAGGAATGCGGATAAACTCACAAGGTGCACATTCAAGCGATCTGTCAATATGTTTGAATGCAACCACGAATAGATTTACGGAAGGCTAATCGGACACAAATCGTGTCGATTCAATCCTACAAATTCCTTTGGGCTCCTAAAAGGAACAATAGGCAATGATGAGCTCAAACCGCATCGAAATACGCCTCCATTTGCCTTCAGAAACGCGACATCCGTGCTCTTTTTTACTGAAAGTGGTAATCGTCAACGCAATGCGCACTCACCGTCAATCTGAAACATAATGAAGGAAGGAGTAAGGCCTCACAAGGCCCGTCACATAGATAACATACATGTAATGGAAGGGTGTGGGGGACAGGGGTGGGGGTTGGTGGGTGGCGGACCCATGCAGGGAGAAGTCAGCTCGGCGTCGGCGTGCGATATGATCGCCACAAAAGCCCCGTCTGATTGGCGTTGTGCCGACTGCATGCATGTGGTAGCACGTGCGCACGCGAGCCCGAGCGCAGTGCGCAAACGCACGCACGCGCGCACACAAGTGCACGCACATTCTAGCTGTTAATGTCATTCCTCTTTCTCTGTCGCCCTCACTTCGTGCGTCTCTCTCGCTGGCTCTCGCTATATATGCCGCACGGCGCGGCAAACCAGCGGACGTGCGATAACATTTGCTCCTGAGCCTTTCCAACTCAAGTGCAAGCACGTGCTATGGCTTAGTATTTTACCCAACTGATGTGCAACATGGGAATCCAAATCAGTTTCGTAATAGTCCTTCTGCTCAATATACTAGGTGAGTTAGTGCACACGCACATGCCTTGTTTTATGCGTATTATGTCTGTTTCTTTTATGTATGTGTCTGTGTGGGTGCATAAATTTTATTACTGTGTGGCAGTTTTATTGTTCTTCTGGCGAACGCTAACGCGGACAGGCGTTTTCGCGACCTGGTTTATAGACTTATTTTAGGGTGCGCTGTGTGAGAATACATCAAACAAGATTATGGCCTCCCATGTGTCGACACAGACGTGTGCACACACACTACCGCACCAGGGCGTGCACGGTGCACACACACAAGCGCCATTAATGATCATAAAACTATGGATTTGTCATAGTCGCGTCGACGGACGTCGTAAACCGGGCATTCACACACACACAGGCAAGGTGTCACTTAAGTAATCGCAGGTTGGGCGCGACTTCAACTCTTCCCGGCTTTGCTCACCCAAGCATTACTGCTTCTGGTCACTAAATGCTCAGACTTGCTCCCATTTTCCACATTCCTCGGATGTAACCGTGTCTCTTACGATCCGAATTTTCATGTAGTTTTGAAGCTAGCTTCGCTATGCTTCATAGCACTATGTGTAATCACGTCATTTAGAAAATTGCTATTTAATCCAGTTCCGTGGATGGAGGAATCATTCTTTGAGAGTACCCTCTCCTCTCTAATCTCCAGGATTATTCCAACTGGGATCTCTAATTATTTCATCCCATAATTGCCAGGCGTAAACATTGAAATGGAGTAAACAGCTCCTGAATCCGCCACAGATTAGTTCGGGTAGCCGTTCCAAATAAGCGTATGTCGTCTCTTCAAGCGGGAATTTTTGGTGTTCAAATGTAGCTTCTTGCATTTGGTTGACCTTCCTTGAATGACTTTTTCGGTGTTCGAGCACACATCAATGAAACGGGTCACTTGTTTACCTGTTTAACTGTTTCTGGCCATTAGGATTAATTTAACTAGCATGAAGGTAGGTGCCTGTCGCATTTGATCCCCCCCATATGAGTTTTGTTCCCGACTTCGGCAGATGGTGTCTACGTCTACCGTCATATCACCGTTGAGCGAACCCAGCGGCTGTTTGCTTTTTGCGTAGTTTGTTCTCCCACCAACCACCTAGTACATTGAGACGTTAGTTGTTCCGAGCTAACCCTCCTCGACACTCATTCATCTCATGCCCTTTCCAGTCTGTTCCTCTTTATCGTGTTACCCTTAATGCCGTTTTGCGCGGGAAACTGATCCCCACGCGTGAGTGGCAGTTCTTTCCGGTTGGTTAGCCCGCGACGCTCCGTACCTCCGTAGGACCTCACTCTCTCCCCCGGGAGCACCGCGGGCGGAGTCTTAAAATTCCTGACGGGAGGAATGTTCCAGTTTAATTATTTATTGTTGTGAGAAATCAGAACGTGGTGCTCCGCGAACCAACTTAAACAGGGATTGGTTTCCTTGGTCGACCCCTTTTTTTCTCGTCTCCATGTGTTCCAGCACTTATTGCCTGTCGTTGACTTGATGCGCTCTAGTTATGCTAGGTTGTGCCAGGGCGGAAGATCTGCCACACTTTCTTATCGTATTATTTGTTGATAAAATGTAGAAATTTACGTTTCCCCCTTGCACACACACGCACACGCCACACCATGCGGGCACGGAGACGTGTCCATTATTGTCGTACTCGTGGATAGCACGGTTTGTCGGTTCTGGCTACTGCACGCTTTTAAATGCTTGCTAACACAGGTTAGACGCATTTGCTTTATGTCTTTTTGGGTGTGGCTGCTTCCTTTCAATGTCTGTTTAATACAACAATAATATCCCTCTCCGTATGTAGTGAGGCCCTTCATATAAACACACAGAAAAGGAGTGGAGAGTTTTTCTTCCGGTTCAAATAATTTGATTTACCTTTTGTTGCCTCGCTGTACTTTGTGTACTCGCTAGTCACAGCAACCCGTCTGCGGTCCTGGTTGGTCTTGGTTGTCTGTTGACTTGCCAAGGGTCAAGGGGACTGTTTAAATTGAAGCCGACTGGGCAGGCTTCACTTCTAATCGGGGTTGATGGTCAGCGGTTAACCAATGCCTTCTCCGATGGTCACTGACGCTTGATTAATTCGCCGTTTGACAAGGTGGATGTGTGAAGGGTACGTTAGGAACTCGATTTTTTTTTATTCCTCGTGTGCAAACCTGTGACGGACTCGCGAGATGTTGTGTGCCGTGCACACGCGAACACACGTGGTGGTTCCGCGTGCTCCTGCTTGCGAAAGGCTGCGTGTTTTTTTCTGTTATTTTTTTCAGTTTGAGCACAACATTGGATCGTAAGTAACAGCACAAGTTCGTTTAAACGTCGGGAGGGCTGTGAAGGTGCTTTACTAACCGTGTCTCCACACCAGCACTGGACCTGAGCTAATGAGATTCATTGTCTTTTTTGAGCATTGAAATCTGGGATGCCTCTGCTTCCGAACGTCGTTGAGCCTCCCATTTAGTAAAAATAGGTGGTTCCATACATGGCAAGGCTAAGGTTTTCCCCTTTAAAGACAAATTGAAGTAATGAGGTACAAGACGGCTTAGCCTCTAGAGGTGGTTGCTTATTTCCCTTGAGCTAGTCCCTTTCGTGCTACCCGAGGGACGAAGCTATCCAGTCGAATGACTTTTGCAAACTGGCGTATATTTTTTGGTCTTTGTCCACACGCTTGCAACCGACAACAACCGCCTTATGACTCACCGTATGCTCAACGTGAGGCGCAGTTGTCTGGCTAGGCAGCCGGGAGTGGCTGGAATGCGCACTGGGGCCGTCTGTCCAGGCACATCCCCATTGCAAGTGGGTTTAATGGCTCTGGTCATGGTCGGTTCAAGTTAGCCTCGCGCCCTACTCACACATAACTGCCATATTAGTGTTAACACCCACGTTCCGCTCATCATTGGCGCACGATGCACACGCTTGGCCAAATGCATTCGTGTTTGTGCGATGTGACGTCTTGTGAACAGCTGCCAAATACCCGTCAAGGTTACTTGGTGCTGGCCACAACTGTCGGCATGTTTTCATCGAGTCGAACAGGACATGAGGGATTGACTTTGCTCGCCCACCCCTGCAGGGATTAAACGCTTAGGGCAAATGCTTCGTGCCTGGATTATTTAATTTCTCCAAATAGACAGATGGGATCGACGAATAGTTGTCCTCAAGCTTGCCAGGTTGGCAGTCCGTAAGACTCAAGACAAAAAATCCTCATTAAGGTGTGGTCAAACGTACTTATCAGTTGTGGGATGCTGTTAGCATCACCCAATATGCAGAAAGGCAAGCGGCCCACTGTAATACACACCGAAATGCAACTACCATCTCGTGCATGGCTTAACCAGAAGGCCCTAAAATCACTCAGGCACAACAATCGATTCATAGGCGAGGATTACGCTGAGGCAACACGTGAGCATCGATCTACTCACCGTTTCCAATAGTCAGAGGCCCTTAAAATCCAAGGTCTTAATGTGATTAACGCGGCCATTGACTTTCAAACAAGCCGATTAGACCTATTCACGCTACGCTGAGTGAGGCGGAAGAGGAAAAGCGTCTTTAAACAGCAGCGGGCTGCCGACAAAGTAGGATGAGTCACTTCCTCATCTTCCTGCCCTTTCTTCCACTCGTGTATGTCCAGGCTTACCCTCCCCAACCCCATTTCTGGCAGACTTAGGCGGTAGGTTAGCCCCGCGTTTTTAGCATCAACGCACTCATTCTATTGAGATCAGTGTGATGCTGGAGCTTGTTTCATCTGGGGTTTTTGAAATATTTATTTACTTCAACTTAGCTTTGTTTTGTCGCAGTCCCGCCCAACTATTTGAGAGGAGTTTCACCGCGCGATTTTATGCGACTATTTTCTTGGCTCTTCCCTGCAATTTGGCAGTACACACGCACTTTAACGCAACCTTCTGCCAGCGGCTATGGTCGTACACTTACCATGTCACAATTCAACTCCATTTCCTCTTCAAAGAACGTTTCGCTCGACGTTTTCCGTCCTCCTTGGTTAAGCGCTTGTTGGTTTAGACATCCCTTCATTTGCTATTTCCTCTACAACCGTCGACACTAAAAATGCACCTAAGTGGGGCTTCCAGTACATTTCTGTCACGCAATCTCAAATATTTAAGTTGCTTCTCGCTCCTGTGCAACCTATTTTAACCAGATAGATGTTTGCAAATGAAGTGTGCGGACCCCCGAATTTTGTCAACCGACCGAAAACTCATCAACACACCCCTCTGCGTTCGCGCACGTCCAACCAACGCACACACGCACGCCTGCACGCATGCACACCTCTCTGAGACGTCATGTCCGCCGCACACCCGCTCTCGTCGTCTGTTTAGGCTTGACGGAGTCGTGCGGTCTCTTGACAGCCGACACCTAGTTGACTGTATCAGTGCCATCAGATTCACGAGTCGGTTTATGCCGTTCTGACAAGTCCATGAAAATAATTGTCCGTGTTTGTATGCATACGGCATTTTTTTCGGCTACGTAGTATTTGGTTTGCAAGCTGGGTGCTTTCTGACACCAGGTCTAACGCTTCACGTCGTCAGAAGGACAGGCCTATCGGAATACGCCAAATGACCAGACTATGCCACAGGCAAGCAGACTGGGCATTCGTTTCATCCAGCAACCCCTTCACCTTCCATTATGCCTCAAGGCTGCTGCGTGATGCGTGTTGTAGTGGACGAATTTCGGGCTAGGTCGGGGACGATGAATGGTTTCGTCCTCAAATGCAGGTTCTTAATTATGTTGGCTTGTCTGTGTGTAATCCCCTTCCTAATTCATCGGTCATAAATCAAATCCACTGGGTGTGTGTGTATGTGTGTGCCTGCAGTTTTGACAACGGGCAGTCAAGTCCAATCGTGCAAAACACTCCCTTTTTGATGTTTGTGTTAACTCTTCCTTTTGTAAAAAGATTGCATGCGCATCCGTGTACACTGGATGCGTGTTAAATATTCACGAACGCTAACTGCCCAGCGCCACCGCCAACCATTTACATGAAGTAGAAATCTTCTGCTTGGCCATCCTTCTCAACGCAAATTTTTGGACCGGGTTTTAATTTAATTTAATCGACATCTGCTGATCTTGCTTGAGTGCTATAAAGCCCAAAGTTTCCCATGATGGATTACGTAACTGGAATTAATGGTCAGTCTTGGCCATGTAAAAGTGCTAGACGTAGGCAATCAAAACACTTAGTTATTCGACTCGGATTCTCGGGACATTGTCTCTTACTTTGTGTCGTTACTTCGTAAGACTTTTCATACTACTTTAGTAAGACTAGTCCCTCGCAATCGCGTCCTGGTTTGGCATCACATTGGTTAAAGTGGATCTCAAGGGCAACACTTTATTTGGCCTTGATTTCGATCATTGTACTAACCAGCGTTGATTGATAATCGGTAGTGGGGTTAAGTGTACTGGCAATCAACATCACGTGACGCAAAACCGAAGTCATCAACACTAGAATGTGTGCTGTGGGAGGCCCATTAGAAACGAAGTGACATTGCCCTTAGGCAAAGCACCACACCCACAGGAAAACAGGCATCGTGGCAAGTCGAAGGAAACACAGGGTGTGCAGAATGGAAACCACAACGAGTTTGTCATCGTTTTAATCGCCCTTGAACTCAAAGGTGGCATTCAGCTTAGGGAGGCAAATTGAGAAAGGGTCTGTGAGAAAAAAAACATTTCAACCATAAAATGTGTAGTGATTTTGTGGTTTATGGGACTCCGTTACTGTCAGCAGGTGGAGTCAGTTTCGGAGGTGTGGCTTGAAAATAAAATATGCAAAAAACATTTGTTGGGTTATTTAAGGTGTTAGTATTAGTAGTAATGTCTCTAGTTTATTCGCTCGAAAACCGTAATCTTTTAGCCATTGGGAAGTGAATGGTAAAGGAACTGAGGCTTCCGCAAAGTGTTTCCACAAAACACGTGTTCCTTTCGTAAACAGCGCTGAAAAACCGAATGCTGTAAGACATACAAGAAACTGGATGTAGGAATCCGTAAGTTAGTCTTCTTAAAACAGGCTTGATGGTGGGTAATTTAGTAGATGGCTTACTGTCTTCTTTGACGCTTGGGTTGTTGGCAAACACTTCACTAGAGGGGACGTGGCGGTTGATTGAAGCCACCTATTATTCTTGTGCAAGAGTGCATCAATCGGTGAATTTCGACTTCTGCTCTACCCTACATTTAGTTCTCCCAGTTCCTCCTTTTTCAAGTAGATAGCCCATGTTTCCTCTGCTGCCCGCACCGCCCTACCAAGTCCCCACGTAGATGCACGCGTCTCGGAGAGTGATCAGTTTGTCCCAAGAAAGGCTTGCGATAATTTATGCCTATGCACTTACGAAAGTGTGAAAAGTTAGTGGAGCGAACGCCAAGTGGCATCATAGACGCCTGTTAAGTTGGTCGCCCTCACATAAACCACCAACAGTAACCAGTCTTTTACGAAACGAAAGGCGTGCAACGAACGTAGAAACAAACGGCAAATTTTGCGTTGTTGTTATTCTGCATCCACAAGGGTAGCCGAATGTAAAAGATCTGGGTAAATAAAACTGACGATAAACGTTATTACTGCTTGAGCCATATTTCCCAAAATTGACCGTTTCTTTTTTTTCGCGCTGTTTTCATTTTGAATCTGGAGGGCCATTTCATGAAGTCATTAAGGCTTTGGGGCGATCTCAGCACTCCGACGGTTCCTGAGCCTAGACCTAATTTCTCTGTGGAAGTATCTGCTTACTGCGCTTTTTTATGCTCTGCATCAGATGTACTAGCAAGGTTTTTAAAGTATTCTGCGATCAATTTATCACGCAGTAATGCGCTTTTCGTTTGTTGTGAACAGAAACCGATAGCGCATGGCACGTGCCCAGCGATCGATAAATTGCCGCACACACACACATGCGCGCAAGTGCCATTCATCCCCAAATGGCAGCAAAAACAGCCACAACAACAACATCAACAACACTCTCCACTCGCTGCGTGGGGGGACCGGAACGTGGCACTCGGTGCCTCGCGGACAGGCGTGTGCGTCATCGTCTTCTAAGGCTCTGCTCCCCTTAGTCCGCGCACACGCCCGCAGCGAATTTCAGGGCAAAATAAAAGGTTGTACCGCGAAAAAAGGGAAGAGTGTATAGGAGGGGAAAAAATAGGGAATGCCGTCAGAACGGCACGCAGAAACGTCATCCTAGTCGACTTGGCGGTGCGTTCACACTCTGTGTGTGTCCGAGCCTGTGCTTGGTTTTTGGTGTGTGTGCGTGTGTCTTCGGCAGAGGGGACGTTGTGACTTACCTATCTGACCACCTAATTAATCATTGGGCGGTGAGTTTCGTGTGTGTGTGTGCGCGCGCACGTTGCTTTTCTTCTCTGCACGCCTGTACACACATCGAGTGAATATATGAACGAACAGAAGAACATGCGTTCTGTTTTACAAGTCAAGAGCGAGGAGGTGCGGTTTCGGGAGTGACAGTGAAACTCCCAAGCGTGGCATGTGCACGCGCTTTTGTTGCATGTTCTGGGGTGGCCTGAGGCACAGTGATAGGAGGAGGCGCCGCTGGGATGGTCGTTTGGTCGCTCTCCTCAGCTGGCGGGACACGAGATGTGTTGGCTTTGTGCATTCATTAGTGACCGTAACTCCAGACAGGTAATTGCGTTGGTGTGGCATCCTCCCCTCTCATGGTCCAAATGCAAAACCTCGGGTTTCGCGCGGAATCGTGGTTCCGTTTGTGAGACAACCGAGAAACTGCGCATTTTCTGCTTCCCAAAGCACCGTCTCACAGCTATGCCGAAAGCCGTTCTATTGACGCGTAGCATAAATTACTCGTTTAGACTTGTGAGGGTGGCGTGTTCAACACATCTTCAAGCTTGATACAGCGGCTGTGACGTTGACGTGCTTTTAAAGACATACGAGCAAGCGTGCAGGCACCTGTAAATTCCTAATCCTAAAGCAGTCTGTTGTCGGCCCCAGCATTTGGCCTCTAACCACGCCGGGGCCACTGAATTAACTCTAGCCGATTACTCTTCCCTGATACCCACGATGAAGAAATGACCAGGTAGAATGTGGACACAACCGTTTACTTCAGAGCTCGATCACGTTGGTGTCTTGCCGTGCGTGGGGTTTGCGCGTGTGTATTTATACCTCAGGTGTGTGTCATACATGTGCTAACATCGAGACCTAGGTGAGGATAATCCAGGCTAAATGCTCGTGCTAATGAGAGGGTAGTTGAGGATCCGCACGGCTGGCGACATGCTACGAAAAGTGGGGCCATATGTCGACACTGGAGTGATCGGATTAGCGAGTGTGAATCGACGCAATTCACAACAAGTCCATCAGTAGACCGTAAATTAACCACGATGCACTTTGGTTGAATTCGCTCATCGGCCAACTACTTTGCGTGGCTTGTGTCGCAACTGATCTGCAACCTCAATAGTAAGACCATTCGGCCAACTCGCGCACCGCATTAAACCGCGTGAATTCAACTTCAACTTCCGTTGTTTTCACGAACGAAGACTGAGCTCGTTAAGCAGGGCGAGAGAGAGTGTGTGTGTGTGTGAATCATTGAGGACTGCAAAAAGTCGCTGCCTCTGGCGCAACCTCCCGCCCACCCACCCACCCACCCCTGTCCCGCAAAAGCGAAATAATCGAGTCTGTCCCAGCGTCGTCTGCATCAAAGCCGTAGGGAAAGTCCCGCCAAGTGCACTACTAACGTGCGTCAAAACACTGGGGCATTTCTTCGTTGAACGAAATTCCCAACTACCTCAGCTCACCAAAGGCTTAGAGCTCACGAAAACGCCCGTGATTGGCCCTGGGTGTGGTTACAGCTTGCGTGTTGAAGAAAGCCCAACATCACGTCAAGCGCTCCGGGTATGTTAAGGTTAACTTATAAAATCCCCCGTACTCCGCCCAAACAACTGCTGTGGGGCTGAACGTTGTTGCACTTAAAAGCGTTTCCTTGTTGAGCGTTAGACCCAGCGAGTTAACTAAATCATGGCGTGTAGTCCAAGGTGGTATGACTGTCGCTAACTGGTCGGAAATAAATCGTCCGTCCTGCGTCACCTTGATTTATTCGAACACTATCAACAGACAGTCGCACTAGACACACACAAACGCACACACGAAGTGGCGAAGCAGGGACGTGTGACAACAACAATGCAAGGTGCTGAGTGTTGTAACGCAATAGATTAATGGGCAAAGTGATGTCACCTGGGTGTTCTATGTGTGCACCAGGGACGCGTCCACATGCACAATTATGCATGCGTGTTACCTCCGATACGGTTGATTCATGTGTGTGGACATTCATATCTGGCGCTGCGTGCATTGTAAATCACTTCGTTATGGAGTGGTGTGTGTCCTACACCCTTATTTGTCCGCGCAGTGGCTGAATAAGCATCAGTCATCAGAAGCCGGTGGAGTTTGGTAGACTGAAAAACTCACAAGTCACGTGGTGGCCTCGCGTTGATATTACGGAAGGCGCTTGGCTATTTTTGCTTGATTTGTGCATTTCGGCGGGGTTTTAGGACGTGTTTCACAATTTTTCCCAGCTAATCTTGTCAATTACTTTTTTTGATACATGCAAATTCAACACACGAGCCAGGCGACTACTTTTAAGATCCTCATTTCCACTGTTAGTTTACTTTACTTGCTGAAACCCCCTCATCCTGCGGTGATTAAAACCTGTTCGTATTATTCCTTTTCTAATGTGCATGTACCACAGTTATAATGGAGGCCGAAGTGCAGGCTGCCCAAGTCATGGAATCTGTTTTCCCTCATCAAATCACTAATTCATGATTTACTGTGCTCGCAGCTGGCAGAAAGTGGGTCCAGTGAGTAGTTGTGTGCACGCCAACCTGAGGTACTTTAACAGTCTCATTAAAACAGGCGACGCACGCTATGCAGACTCGAGGTAAACATCCCCTCACGTATTTTTTTTAGATGCTGTATAAAAAAATCACGTGTGTGGTGTGGTGCGGTGGGCGCGATAGGTCGTTAGCATGTGATTCGTCTGCAGCGTCTCCAGCGCACGCCTGTGACACCACGTTTTGGTCAGTCTATTTGGTGTTTCATTGATGCTATTCCGCCGGGCCTGCCCAGCGCTCAGCGCAGCGACTTCTTGCTCGCCCAAAGCAGCCCGCCACGTCTCCAGTCGGTCGGACGCTTTTGGCCAACTGGTGTAAGAAGCAGCGAATAACGCATCAATAAGTCCTAATCTCATTGGTGGGCTGGTCGTCCTGCTTTAAGTGGATGTCACTAAGCTCAAGCAGCATGAGTTCTTTCGGTCTATGGGGATAATACTTTATGCCTAAGTCATGTGATTTCAACTCGTGCGAGATCACTGGCGTTTGGGTGTGGTTGGAGGCAGCTAAAGGTGCATTTTCCCATGGTTGTGGTAACTTCTTTAGATGATTTATTTTTGCTCTCCAGGCTGCCCAAGTCTCTTACCGAATTGACGCAGGAGCTACCAGTATCCCCAGAGTTTTATTGGGAACAAATACGGCCTTAATAAGTAGTGCATTTGGTCCAATCCCACCTAAACTCGCGTTTCCTGGGTTTCCCCAAGCCGGACCATCCACACACACACACACACACACTGTGTAAAATGAGTGTTGAGACTTAATTTTTAACATCCGAAATCATTAAAATATGACGCGCATTATAAGTTGACACTGGTCTCACGAAAAGACAAATTACCCTTAACTTCAGGTAGACTTTAATAAATCGATTTCTGGTTGATTGGCGGTTTATGAGCAGTGACGGCCTCGCAATCCTTGAAAAAGCAGCTTCGCGAAGAGCACTTATTTGTTCTTCTCTGTTGACTAATCTTCATTGTGATTGGTGATCGCAAATCAGATACATATGAACCAATGTTGGATGTAATTAATACATTAACCGAAAGCCCCTGTGGCAGGATTTTGCTGAAGAGTTACGTTGGGGCTGTTTCACAACTAGTGTTTCACCGCCTAAGTTCTGTGGTTTAAGCTTTGAAACACGTGGCACCTCCTACCTTGGGCCTCGGGCTACTGGCCTTCTAGGCTTTGGGGTCATCTTTGACGGATTCTGGGACAATATTTCAGTAGGTGTCGGTTGTTTAGTGAGAAGTTGGGTTTGTTGCGTTGGTCATCTCGCAAGTTGCTGGTATCGGAGGTGTTTCCTAAATGCCCACTGCTTAAATGATTTCAAAAAGCATTTTAATGGCTAGAAACGAATCGCCTGCCATAATTTTACCTTATTGCCTTGTAGTCTTAACCAATGATCTTTTTAATGGGTCCATCATGCTATCGAAATCGACCAGTAATTTTGTTGAAAGTGTCTCTAAAAGGGCCTAATAATTCAAACCGAGTGCTCTATTACTAGACATTGGTGATTACAGCCATTGTCACAGCCACCGTCGATATACTAAAATATTGAAGTAGTATGAGTAAACAGTAGAGAACTCGATGGTTTTGGCATCTTTGAAACGGTATGTTACTGAATATTTGTAAGTAGACCGGTTATGGCGTGCACTGGTCTGCAGCAGATGTGTATTAGAATAGAATCGAATTGTGTCGTGGCTATTTTTTTGCAAGTACCTTGGAGAACTGTTGGAAATTCCATTGCTGCATTAGTATTGCATTTCGGACTTGCGGGTGTACCTGTGTGAGGCATAACCCGCATCAGTGGGCTGCCGCGAGTCCTAAAAAGCAGCACGATCCTCAGGGTGTTTCTGGATTCACTTAATTTCACACGTGGCATTTCAACATTGCTCCTAGCAGGCGTGAGTGATTTCGCCTCAGATTGGTGCGATCTCTCGTTGCAGGTCACCCAGTCTCATTGGAACACGCCTCAAGCCAATCCAGAACGAGTTATCACGCGCCTCTACCGATTGGTTACGAATTTTAGGGTGCGATTTAATACCAACGATGTGTCATGAATAACTGACCAGGCCCAAACTCTCGCCTTTTAGCCAATGTGAATGCGCAGAACTAAAGAAATGTTTTTTTTATCATGCAAAGATTTCCATAATGAACGTGATCGGCTTTTCCTGTGAATTGATAGACTGTCTTATCGGCATGGGATTCCACTCTCCAACATATCATTTATTTTGTACTGTGGCATACATTAAGGCGAAAGGCAGACAAGCGCGCTATGAGAAGATATTTTGGAATAAAAAAATATATTGGAGTAGTTGACATTTTCCCCGGCACAATACTTATTTTGGAAACAATTACTTATTCTCGGCAATGACCAATCGCTACATTTTTGCTGGATATTTCTTGAATTGTCCAATGGAAAAAAAAGATAAGGCATTCTGTGTGCTTCCTCTGGTGCCACAGAGGAGCTCTCAGGAGGCTCTTGTTGCAAATTGATTGACTGTGCACATTCGAAAGTGGTTACATTCTATCAAGCACTCAGCAGTCGTTGGGTATTAACTTACTTTATCTGCTCTGAATGCTTGTTGGTAAAGTTGCATTTTTACAATGTGCTAAAACAGAAAATATGAGGAGTTGCCTTGTGTACGGCCAGGTGTATCTGTGTGCTTTATTCTTAAACCATGTTCCCTTGATCTCAGAAGTTGATGGGCCAATTAAGGCGCAATATGTTACTCTCAAATTGAACCTACCAATGTTTTCTTAACATAAATCCTGGTTTGACTTTTGTTATTTGAGTGTCACTAGGCAAAAGGACGTTTCTGTGATAGGAGACAAGAATCTGCAACTTTGAGAGCGTTTTAGTCACTTTTCCCATAGACGAAAACTAATTTCAGGACTGGAAACGTTACAAGGCTTCGTCCGCGTACCGAAGCAGATTTAGACTAAATGAGAAAATCGGTACAAGAAAGTACGTTTTGTTTGCGTCACCATCATCAGCAATACACAGGTTGCGCCTGCGAAATTGAAGTGACCTTTTTAAAAGGAAATGCGGAATAGTACTGAGTAGCGGCTACAAATCGTCGTTCCAGAACGGATTTAGTGTCGAAAGTCGACTATGGCCTAGTTATACCAATTATTCATAATCACGGGACTTCTGTAACTGACTGCCTGAATTCTCTGGGTGAATACTTGTTTATCCAATTTGATTTGATGATATTCTCGCGTTGACCCCAGCTCCACTTGTTATTTAAAAATATGTTTCGTGCATTCTTCCTGGTTTAGAAATACGCCTCATGATTACGTAAGCACAGAAAGTGTAGTTTGGCATTCGTGTGCTGGTGGGGATTTCTTGATCACCGAAATATAGAATTCTCCCAAAGCAAAACATCAAGTTTACTCAAAATTGTCCCCAAAGCAATCTTTCATTGCAGAAATTAACTATTAAATTGCGCGCAAATTGTGCCCGTCGTGTGGTGCTCTTTGGCTGCTCTCGGAAGAGCCCCTCTGTGGTGGATATAGTGCCGATCTTTCTTATATTCTTTCATCAAAGAAACCTGGTGGGCCCATGAAACCGGTATCAAATCTCAGTTCTAGGTGATTGCTCGAAATCAGATACCAAAAAATGTAGGTTGTTACGTTTATAAAAATGTTGTCCCTTGTCGTGTCCGCGTAAACCAAAACGCCTGCTAAGAACCTTGTGTTCACCATAGGAAATAAGTTTATTTGTTTTGCTTTTTCGTAAAAATCTGTCACCTGTGCTTAATTGTGGGGGAATTCATTTAATTGATATCATTCTCGACCCCGGTCGTAGTGTGTGCAAGTTGTCACAACTCACAGTCACAGGCCTTCACAAAATGTATTCAATGAACAAATTTTATGAATCGAATCTCCCCTATCCTGTCTGATGCCGCTTGTGCAGGTAGCGCGCTGATGTGCGGTTTCATCAGCAAAAAATCCTGCTTTAATATCTCCGCCTCCATCTACCACCGTCTGGTTGATTTTTGACAGGCTGGGTGTGTGCAGTTTGTTTCTGACGTGTTTGGTTTCCAACCGGGACACACGAAAGCTGACCCGTGATTCGAGCCCTGCCCACGGCTCTACCTGTCAGTGACTTCAACACTTGCTGATTCGCCTCCCCGCTTCTGCGTCCTCGTAAACATCACCACCAATCGCTTTGAATGTTTTCGCCATCTGCCTAACTCACCCGGCCAACTGTTCGACAGCAAACGTGCTTTCTACAGCTTTCGGGGTGTATAGGATTGTGGAGGTTACAACTAAAGACGTATTAAAAATCCTTGGTAGAATGTGAACTACAAATTTGCTGCGAATTTAGACAACGCGATCATTACAACGAACATGTTAGCGAAGTGCTGATCTGCTTTATTTTTTTTATTTTCCAACAGTTTCTTGAGGCTGATTTGGTCCAGTCGAGCTTGCGAAGTCCACTGTTAACAGGTGTGTTGGGGCAGATGAAAAACCGACCCCCACAATGCAGCGGTAGATCATCCTGTTCTCTTTTCCATTTTTTCTCGGGCTATGCAAGACCTGGGTGCAGGATCTTGCCACTTGTATCGAGGTGTTATTCAGGCGAGGGGGTTGTTGGCTGGGTTTCGACAAAAATCGGTCCCAGTCGGCTTCGGTGGTTTCAGTGGCAACATCAGTGCTGACAATTGAGGAAGTGAGAAGACACAGTAGATTTGACTATTGCTTTCGCTGTGTTACCCTGCTTCTTCACTTATCGATTCATACAGCACAAAAACCAAGAGTGGAACGCTTCTCGTGCTAGAAGAGATGTATCCATCTTTTAAGTGAGGGACGACGCGTGGGTATCAGCCATTTGTTGCCAAATGCACACCCAGCGGAGCCCAAGGGGGATACGTCGGGACTCTGTTTGTTCGTTCACCGATCGATATGAACGAGAGCTGACTGTTGGATATTCTAGTGGAATATCCGTGGCGCATATGACATACTGCCCTTCACGTATTCTCTTAATTTTTCAACAGAGGGTAAATCGTCTTTTTTGGTAATTGTTCTAAAATCAAAGCAATATAAAAACCAGTTTCCTACGGCGTATCTTTTTTTGAAACTTGGCTCGTTAGGTAAAGTAATAGAGCTGTCAAAAGTGATAAGTCATTTATACCAAGTTATTGGACGATTCTCTAAAAGTGCGACAAACCAAGATTGTGAAGACTTTTCGGCTAAAAATCGTGTGCGATGAGGACAATCAAGGTAGGTAAACTGTGGATAGAATGCGGATCGTTGAGGTCTGTTCGTCTAACGGCATTAAGCAAGTGCATATTAGTGGTATGCCAACTTTGCGGTTCTGCGTGATCAAATTGTTTCCTCGTTTATGTAACATGGTCATGGACAAGACTGATTATTTGTGAGTTTAAAACCATCGTCAAAGTGGATGTGCTCCTTCTAACAAGCGCAGGTTTTGAATGCAAGAGAACGGAAATTATTATGTTAGCCACACATTTTTGTCAAACCCTGATTGGGGACACGATGTTCAAGATTGTTCTTCCAAACCATTCATAAAAGTCGATCGGTGTTGACGGCGCGAGTTCTGAAAAAAATTTGGTATCCTGGATGGAGGGGTTTACGCGTCAGCTCTTCTCTCAACCAATCACCTCCGACTCACGTTATTTTGAATTGGCCGCCCATTGCTTGATTGGCTGGTGGTAGCGTGTACGGCACACGCGGTACATCGCAAAGCCAGCTACTTCGGCGCGAACATAGATGCGCCCCCTCCCTTCACAAACACACGCACGCACACGCGCACACCCAAGTACCAGCCGCCAGTCCGACGTCAACAACAAAGGGCAACGTCACATTACCGCCATCACACAGACTCTTTCAGCACGCACGTGCGCGTTCGCTAACACTCGGAGCCACAAATACGTAGAAAACTCTGAGGCACATCACTCGACCACATTTCCACAGCCGCCGTCACCGCCGCGCCGTCTTTTTGCCATCTCCTGTGTGTGTTTGTGACAGGAAAAGACGAGGAAGACGCGGCAGAAAGGCGAATCAGTACGACGACCATGGTGACTGCTTATTGGATATTAATCGTTACTTGGGTATTGTTCTTACCTCTGGAAGTTGTCCAATGTAAGTGTCTCCGAATGCACGCGGCCTTGTACGTTTTTATTGCACATGTCAGTTAGGTGCGTGTGTGTGTGTGTTTACTATGCTAACGAAATCTGTTTGTGTCCGGCTTCTTGCTAAGGCAAATGGACAAATCGACATCCGTTGGTTAAAGTTTCTTTAAATTAAACTGTCGTTCTCAGCCTTACTCTCCCGATTTCACCGCATTACACATATTCCACCTTGTTTGAATTCATGTCTTTTGCCTGCTTTCCACAATTTTCAGTCCTTCTAGACTTTGATGTCCCCTTTGAGACATCGCTAGGTTCATACTTCCCAAAACGCCCTGTGATTGGAGACATCGGCGTAAATGTAATTGAATGGATTAATTTCTGGACTAGAAAATTGTCATTGTGCACGCGGTGGTAATTTTGCGACACAGATATTGCTTCAAAATGATACAAAGGGCGGCACCAGTTGTTGTGTGTAGGTTAAATTTTGGGTTTCGGACACACGAGTACGAAACTTCGGTTGCCTCAGCGCTCCTCATTTTGCGTCTCACTTTACCGAGAATGGGATTTGGCTCCGAACAGGAATGTGGAGCCTACTCCGTGGTCTGCACTTTGACCATCGACTAGCGGTAGCACCTTAGAACACCGCGGCCTCTTGCACATCAAAAGTGCTAAGACTCTCCGTCATTAGCGGAGGTCTTTCGTGTTTACGCAGTCGGGTTAGTCAAGCTTCATATACTGAGTTGATAGGGTCTTGGGAACATGCTAGTTTTGCTAGTCTTGTCGGTGAATGTTGCTCTTGTAATAGGGGTCTGCCTTGATGCTCGTCAACTTAGGGCTTATTGTGTTCCTTCTTGAAATGTAATCAAGCCTTTTAGTGGCTACAGTAATCCGAAACTTGAATATTGTTACGTCGGTGTTTGCGTGAATTAGAAGTGCTATAAGTGCTCGACGTTTTCTGGGAGCAATTTTTCTGCGTGTAAAGCAGTGTAGCCCTCTGGATTTTGAGGCGAATGTCGAGCGATCTAAATCAACGAGGGTGTGGAGCTTAATGCCACGCAAGTAACGTCTTCAGGCCAGTTCCTCTCTTCGTGCCCACACACGAACCGTCACGTAGGGCTTTGCGAAGGAAAACGATGTGGGAGTCTGGGAACGGGGTCGCCAACGTCCCGTTTTGTTCTCAGTACGCCCCACTTTGCGGACATCCGGTCCGGGTCCTCGTTACGACTAACCAACCCTCCACCTTAAGGACCCATTACCCTTTCTTCTTCCAGTCATTATCGAGTGGTCGCGTCTTCGTCAACGCCTTCTGCTTTAACTCGCATGCTTTTCCAGATTCTGCCGCTGTTTGGCATCACAGCAGTGGCGATATATCTCAGTGTCTTGGTTAATATACTCTCCAGTTTCCTTCATGATTCCAGCCATGAGTTTCTGCTGTGTCTTAAGAGAGCTTCTACTCTACCAAGCCAAGTGGCCCCACGACACAGATTGCGGTGGGCAAAAAAGAAATAATTACTGCTTTACCAACCTGGTCCTTAGTCTTGTTTGCGGGCTACGAATTAGCATAAAAACATTTGAAATTTAAGGAGAAGCGAACGCAATTGGTCCCGGTTATGAAAACTCACTTATTTTAATTTGTTTGCCACCCAACATTTTAATGTCCCTGTCATCATTGCCCGCGCATTTGTCAAGCTTGCGTGTGAGCTTGTCTCTCCGTGAAAAGCCTTGAAAGTTCTCCCGGGGGGTGGGGCGTCGGCGACGCGAAATTCACCGCCCAAAGTTCAATCGTGGTGAGTGTTCACCTCCTTTTACAACTGGTTGCCAGGGTAATGCGCTAAAACATCGTCCACTCATTTGCACTTGTTCTCCAATGCGCAACAAGCAAGTTATTGAAAGCTAGAAAGTATGGGGTATCAAAACTGTTACTTTTATTTTTCATTACCTACTTTGCACCTTAATTTGCAATTCCTCTTTCTAACACTGCAAGGGGTTTGTTGGCGCTCGATGTGATATTGTCACCTGAAAAATCTCAATAACTAATCGTGGCAGAACACGGGATTGAATCAGAAGCATTTTCCATATGCATTTGCCTTAAGTACTGGGCATTCGAGGGGTTGCAGAAGGCGGTTGTGGTAACGAAACTGTCACGTGTGGCACAACGATGTCGTAATGAAGCATGTCTCTTGATGCTAAGTAGATTCGTTAGAATTACCTTTGGGAGATATTTTTACATGTATTGCCTCGTTGGAGTCAAAAATCGTATTTCAGGGTCCATGTATTGTTTTTTTAATCTTCATTGGATAATAGAGCAGTGTTTGTTAGAGAATGAACGCAAAAATTATGGAGATCGTGTATTTTTGTTTACACTGTCGTATCATAATGCCAATCAATGTACATAGTTTCTATCGGTGTTTAGGTATGCATGGCTTTTGTATGTGCTTAGCTGTTCTATGGTCCAGTGACAGATGAAATGCTCGGTGCAAGGGTGTAAATTTTCACTTCTTTCTAACCTTGTTACGGTCCTATGACACATTCTACTTTCGAAGCGCTTCTTCACTTCTCAATCGATATTTGGGAAATGATGGTTTTTCAAGAATTTGTCGTACTATTCTTCGGTTCAGAAATGCGTAGTACTATGACATGCAGGTTCTACCTGGCTGGAAAGCAGTTCACCACATCTGGAGTGCAGAAACGGCATGTGGGAAGGTGGAGTAGGAGGTTTATCCTCGACTTTTGACGCGCCGCAGGTAGGTGCGCAATACGCCAGCTACCCTACACCCAGAAGGAATTCTTGTCTAAGGAGGTTAGAGGCGGAGAAGGAGGAGGAGGAGGAGGAGGAGGAGGCGATGGTTCACTGAACGTCCTGTCGGTGCTCCACCTGTCGGTGCTGCCTCTTCCAGACTGAATTGCTACAAACAGCACATACCCACACAGTGCACCAGATACACTGCAGTGACAAGCCAGCGGCAGCAGCAGCAGCAATGTACCTAACCGTCGCCAGCGCCACCCTAGCTACCGCTCCGATAGTCCCACTTTCTGTGATTCATCCTCTCTCTCACACACACACACTCCGTGGGGTGGGGTTCGTGTGTGTGTGTGTGTGGACGGCAAGTCCTTACCGGGTTTTGAAGTATCCTTTTGCTAACAACGACCGCTGCTAATGGAAAAAAACAGCAGCCAAAAGTATGTGCGGATGGAATTTGATTTTGTTTGGCCTGTCGTTAGTGGAAGAATCGAGCGAAGGGGGCGCTGGATTTCTTTCCGGCCTGTTCCGATTGCTGTCTAATGTCGTTCAATGATTAATACATTAAAACTAACAGGAAGGGACTGCCACAGCACGGACAGCGAACGTCTAGGTGTATTTCTTGCAGCATAAGCTCGATTTTTGTAGTGTCTCTGACCTTAAAGACAAAAACAATTTTTGTGATTCTTTTGGTGTTTACTTTCACTTGCTGTTGGGCAGTTGTTTCTACTTAGGCGTCTCCTAACAGATCATATCAATGATGTGGTAAATTTTGTTACTTCTTAGGACTATGTCTCACTTCAGAGCGTCTTTCATTGATTTGACATACACTAAAATTCTCCTTTACTCTTTTCTCGGTAAAAAAAACCCTTGAAAATCAAACGAGTTACCTAAGTTTGAAAGTTTCGCTTTTAAAATTCGATATTGAAATCCCGCATGGCACCTCAATTAACCCACCGTCATCCTGGGTATTTGAGATGTTATCTCCGTGATGAGTTGATATCGGAAGTTCTTTGCCACAATTTCTGAACGTGGAAACGAAAACAACGCTCTTGGCTTAGTAATCAATTGTTTAATTTACAACGAGTTATTTCTTTGTACCCAATGAGAGGTGGCACTGTGTACCCAAAACTGTCCACCTGTCATACGACAAGCCCTTCCTTCATTATCATCCCAATCTTTCGTTTTTTTACTCTTGTGGCGAACATCTGCTTTCTGGCCTTTACTCTCCCCACTTAGTATTGGCGAACATCGGACTTTGTTATTGCATCGTTTTGGGCACCATAAGGAGGTATCTTTTGTCACTAGTGTAAATAAGTAAAATCATCTTGGGTGCTGGATGTACTTGCCTGTACCAGTGCCTCGCGAGTTCTCATCCGATTACCTAGCTACCAGAAATTGGCAACCTGTCTTTCCGGCAAGTCCTCCCACGTTTAAGTTTCGTCCTCATGGGTGTCTACTTTTGTCTGTTCGTGCCTTTTACTTTTCAAGTGCTACCAATTGGTGCATTTCTACTAATTTATCACATAAATTTTTTTCTTAGCAATTCACTTCAAACCCTTTCTCATCTGCAATTCTGAGCACTTGTTGTACATTGGCAGCGGCGCTTCCTTATAGTAAACCGTGCATTAAATCAAATTAAAATTTGCATTTGTGTTCGTAAATAGGCCGTATGTTTATCTTCGTTGTCGTGCTATTGAGTGTTCAAATCGACTATAATGGAGGCACAGAGGTGGCTAGACACATCTGCCTGTTGTGGAAACCACAAAATGAAAGTATGCCTTAGACAAATCATTTACTGAAATTTGAAGAATTTACACGGGTGAATCCAGAACGCGTTGTGCGTTGTTATTTTGTGCCCGAAATTGAAGACTTCGCGGACAAGCCCTAGTCTCTAATTCTGTGTTGCGTCCATTTTTTGATCTTTCGTTTATTTTCGCTCCAACTTATTCTCTTAATTGGGAAATCCCACAACGCCGGTGAAGTATCGCTCATGATTGAGTTTGTTTTGAGGTCTCCGTCTGAGTAAAAATAGCCTAGTTTCAAAATAACTTTGGCAACATCTGCTCAGCAGCCTACACCCCTAGTCAAAAACATCACTGAAATTACCGCAAAGGTCGTCGTTAAAGCACCGTTTCATGTCGTTGTTTCGTTAATCGATTTGAAATTCGCGAATTATCGGGAGCACTTTTTTTCCGTGGCCAGATTGACTCAATCTCCAACGATGTTTTAAATTTAACTGGCCTCTCTGTATTCGAGTGTAAAAAGTAGTTACAATTTTGAGGTTGTGTGGTATATCAAAACACATTTTTTTCCTCCCAACAGGTGCCTCGACAGACAGTTTTTACTTTACCCGGTCCCCTCAAAATCAAGACGTGGAGGAAGGCCAGCCGCTGCGATTAGAGTGCGCAGTTCGTCCCAACGACGACATTCACTACTCGTGGCTTCAAAACGGCGTCCGAATAGACCCCGAAAAGCAGAGCGGTCGCCGATACTTAGAGGGCGACTCGAACCTCCGAATCCTCCACGCCGATCGCGAAATCGATCCAGGCAGATACCAGTGCCAGGCACTGAACAAAACCTCCAAATTTGTCAGCGCGAGTCGCGAAGCCACCGTCAATGTTTATTGTAGGTCTTTTACACATCCACCATTTTACTTTATATTTATCCTGGCTTGGGGTGATAAATTGGTTTTTTCTAGGTTAGTCTAAACTGTATTATCCTTTTCAGGTCAGGTATGCTCATGGTATTGTCTTTACTTGAAGTTGCCACTCAGAACATATCTATAACTACTTTCATCCGTCTCTCAAAACCACTAAACGCCGTCGTCCACGGACGTGGCCTACTATTTCAATACCACTAGCACCGCTTGAAAAGCTGTACACGTAAATGTCTGGGCCATTTCTGCCTCTTCAGTCGACTCCCACAAGTAGCGAACAGCCAAAAAGGTGTATGGGAAAGCTAATCTCAATAATGATAGCAATGTTTAAAATAATGTGTGGTTTGTAAGATCCGCAGAAAAGTTAATTCTTCATTTTTAGAGAGAAAAAGAAGAGCTGTACTTTTCTGTCCCCACTTGTATTGGCCACACACTGGCATGAGGGTGGACGGAATGGTTGTTTGTTTGCCCTGGCATTCTCTAAATGCGGAACAAGGAGGTGCATTCATCTTTAACCCCGCCTCCCCAAACTAAATGTGAAGGAAGTGGGAAGCTTAAAAGATTAATAATACTCTCTACGCCGCTGTTGCCAGTGTTAACCGAATGTCACACCGTCGTCTGCGCGTATACCGCACCGTACACACACACGCACGCACACATGCGCACACAAGGCACTCGGTCGGTAGGCACTACTACCGTTTTGTGATTAATTTATTCCAGTCCCGGCCTCAGTGTATGCACGGCAGCCCGCGTTTCTATTCATCGTCTATCGGTGGCGCTCTTTGAAGACATGCGTGCACGCGATGATGTAGAAGTGCTGCCGCGCCCGCGTGCATGTGCGCGCGCGTGTGTGTGTGTGTGTATAATGATAGATGAACTGAACAGTTCGCATTTTTGTCCAAGCGTTAAGGTTTGGCGCGGAAGGAAGGGGGAACGACCTTTGTCGGGACCAAAAACACCCCCGATGATTAATCACGCATGTTTATGCACGCGTTTGCGTGAGGTCAAAGCCCTCCGAGTAGGCCACCACGTCCTATCGATCGGGCATTATTGCGTGCTTTCCAGTAACACTTTTACCACCGAATCGAACTTGTCTACTTGAGCGAGTAGAAACACTAGAGTAATACTGTCACAAAGGAGGATGCGGGTAACCAGGGAACTGTGACCAAGTGTGTTGAAATGCCAAACCAGCAGATCTTAGTGATAGAGTCATGAAGGAAAAACGTTAGTGTAATTTTGTCAAAGTTGTACACTCGACTTTCTTCATGGTCCTTGAAGGGATGGAGCCTGAAGTCGAGGTGAGACTGGTTCGACCGGCTCGTTTCGAAGATATTCGGATAGACGGCGCGGTTGAACTCTCCTGTGCCGTGCAAGCGCATCCCCCAGCCACAATGAACAATATCCTCTGGTTTCACAACGGAAACGCCCGCCTCCCCAACATGCAGGTTCTGCCCAACGGGAACCTGCTCATCTCCTCCTTCGGCATGCAACACGCCGGAAGTTTCCATTGTCGCGTAATCCATACTGCTGGGAAGGTGGATAGCAGACCACCATTTGTCATCCAAATGACAGGCAAGTTTATTTTGTGTAGACTCAATTCAAAATTTTGCAATGGAAAGCGAGAATTAGCTCTCGGTAAATACTTATTTGCAAGTTCCTATAAGCATGTCAGAGAGCGCAAGAAGTGCTCGTTTTGATTTTAAGTCACAACTCAATAGCAAGAGGGGAGATTTCACAGTATATGGGCATCTGGAGGAATCACCGTGGCACTCTTGTCCTTTAATCAGAGATCGAGTCACAACACTTTTGTTTTGGCTTATTTCAGCTGATGAGCCACCAAAAGTGGACACCAGCCTCTCTGGTAAGGGATTCCTCAGGTACGCGCTGCTCGATCGGCCATTGCAGTTAATCTGTCCGAAACCACCCGCGTCGCCGGATGCACCCCCAGACACCCCCATCATCCCCGTCTGGGGATTCATGAAGCGCTTAGGGGAGCAGCAGCAGCCCATCACGAGTCTTCCGGCAGTTCGACTGCTCGACGAGGATTCGACGCTTAACATCGACAGATTCAAGCACGTACACATCAACTTCTACACCTGCGAGGTCAATATGCCCTTCACATCCGAGCGTTACTTTTACGTCTTTCAAGTTTATCTCGCAGGTAAATTTCAGCAGTTTTGCTGTATTAAGCATTCCTCTGGTGTGGGAGTCAAATTGAACTTATGGCTTCTGAGGTAGAGTGGAATAAAGAGAGGTTAACTGGAAAAACAGGAAAGGCCCCTCTTTCATAGTTTCAATTCAGTTCTAAGAAGTCTTATTTTACGCGACAATCTTGGATGGCCGAATTGTAAATGAGGCTTCATGTTTAAGTCGAAATTTAAAGGGCAAAAACTTTTAAAAAGAACTATAAAGATGGTACAAATTACACTGTTATTTGAACCAACGGCATATGTTTAATTTTACTCAATCAGTTATTTTTTGTTATCTCAAGAACTGTATACTCCAAAACCGTCTAACTTCGCTCCACGTCCGCGACAAAATCAACCGCTAGCTGTTCGCTTAGGGGAGAGACTTGAGCTTCGGTACTACGATGACCTGACCCCTTCACAATCCTATGCCAACGAGAACATCTCAAATCCTCCCCCACGGATCGAGTGAGTTTGCTAAAATTTATGCTCACAAATCGGTTGGATATAAAATGATTAAGTAAACATTGTGTCAGTATAGTGGTACGTAAAGTAACGAAATGAGGCTTCTGGTATTGACCAATGGGACGACTGAGTCAAGGGGTTTGTGTGCGGTTTGGCCGTAAACTTAGTGCACGAGTCTGAATCGGACGGATCGACTGGTGTCCAATGCCATACACTTTGGAATCACCACCTCAACGACCACCAACGTAAGTACCAGTAGAAGCGAATAGCCAGCGAGGCGTCCGTTAGTTGGCTTTGCGTATGGGGGGAGATGGGAGTAATGGCGATCCTATCGTCACTGTCCACTAAACACATGCATAAAACATAGTTGTGCTTGTGCCCATGTGTGTATGAGTTCGTGTGCTTAAAAGCGCACTTTAGCCCTGCCTGCATAAAACGGTTCTTCAAAACGGCTTTTCATTTTTCTTTTTTTCTAAGTGCATAAAAAACGTGGGTATGATAAATGATTTGAAATCTAACAAACTGCGATTTACTTTAGTGAGGGTTATGAATCACCGCTGTCAACGCAAGACTCACTTCATTTTAATATGTTTCAAATCCAATAAAGTGCAAACATGACTTATTGTGCTTTCCATATACTGGGAACCATCAACTTTTAAAGTGTGATTTTGCATTAATTGAATGGTGCAAGTTTCACCACATTTGCTTTAAGTTTATCACCAGACCTTAAAATTTCGGATCAAATCTCAGTTATGACGTTTATTGTACTGATAAATTTGTAGCATGCTAGTCCTTCTGATACATGACTTTGCATCCAGGATTTAAGTGCAATCGCATAGATCACTTATCTCTCAGCTGAAAATATCTGAGTGGTCAAGTTTACAAATTCCAGCATCACTACTCGAAATAGGTGTCAAGCTCTTTGGGAGACTACTCCCTAGAAATTCAATTTTTTAATTGCGCTCCTTCCACGTAGGTGGTTCCGACATTCTTCTGGCCATCAGGACCCTATCAGAGTCCCCGCGCCACCAAATCCCCACGCTGAAGCCAGCACGAGGGTGTTTGTGAAGAACGGGCGACATCTGGTGATAAGAGACGCGACCGAGGAAGACAGCGGCCCCTACGAGCTGGTTCTCTCCAGTATTGCTGGCCGTGTCGCCGTGCCCTTCCAAATCATGGTCTCCTGTGAGTGCACAATTGATCTTCCGCTTTACTTCCACACGGATCCTTGTTGGCTGAAATACGCGAACTGTCGCCGTGGCGCGATGTCTTAAGTTCAGACAAGCTGTGCTGCCGTGATGATAGCGCGTTTTGGCCGTACTCCAGGCATGGGAATCCTGATACAATCTTGTGTTGCGTCTGGGAGAATTAAATAAACACCGGGAAGCCAACAAAGAAGGGTTTCTCTTAAATACGGGCAGTTTTTTGGGAAAGCAAGCCATTTATAGCTAATCATAATCTGCTTATTTACTATAGTTCCTCCTGAATTTGAACCCGCCAAAGAGTCGCAGACGTTGGACGAAGGCGAAGCCCTGTTGCTGAGCTGCCATATCCGTCGACGAGCAATCCCTGGAAGTCGCATTTACTGGGAAAAAGATGGGCGGCCACTGGTCAACTACGGAAACGTACGTTTTACGTCTTCCATATGTACAGCGTTTTATTGGAGAGAATTGCGCAGTTTGCAAATGCTCTGGTCAGTGCTCGCTGCTACCGAAAGCTCGTCTAGATTTTTTTAACAAACGCGGTGGATGTGGATAAAGCGTGATGTAGCCACCTGCATATGGTTATGTTTGCCATTGAAGCACTTTGTGGACTGGATCGCGACCACTTCGGTAATTAAGAGGTTGTCTTGCACGTGTTCGGAATTTGGAGTTAGTTTCCCCTCCTCATCTGCCCTGGAAATTAAAACGAAGTCTTAGATGGAGGCATTGGAGTTTATATGCGAGGCTCCAGCACCTCGTTGTCTTAGACAGTGCCTTGTAAGCGTCATTTTCGTCAAGGTTATGAGGAAGGGAAAGATTCGCATCATCAAAGAATGTCAGTCGCTCACGTGACTTACAAAACACCGTTGGCTTCCTAGTTTAGGTGGGAAAAATCTGGATCATTCAGGCGTGCCGCGTGTGAGACTCTTCAATAGTAATTCCAGTTTCAATAAAAAAAAATGTGCCCCAAGAGCTGTTCAAAGGCCATCAAAATTACTAAGTATTAAGTTTGATATAATCTGAATGTGAGACACTTTCTGAAGTGGAGATCACGGACTTGATGTCAGCCATCAAAATGAATAACAAGTTTCTTGAAACCTCTTTAGGATATCTTGGCAGAAGGTGACGGTGAACGCCTGCGCCTTCCCCACGTTACGGTTGACCATCAGGGCCGTTACCAATGCTTCGTCTTTACCGATGGTTATCCTAAGAAGTTTCCTGGCCAGATGCAGCACATCGAGGTGCGCGGGCGTCTTCAATTCGTCAGGGAAATCAAGGAGCACTTTCTTGAGGTCAACATTCAAGGAAAGTTGACCTGTAAAGTGCGCGGATATGGCCAACTCAACGTTGACTGGTTCCGCAAGACTGCAAACGGCCTTGAGCCGATTCAAAAACCCAATCAAGTTGAGAATGGCGTGCTTATTTTCCAATATGTCCAAAAGCAGGACGCAGGGGAATACGTCTGCATCGCCCGGTCAAATTACCGCGATGAAGAGATCCAGATGACGGTTAAAGTTATTGTCGGAGGTAGGTTTTGAAACAAATAATGCATAAGATATATTGTGAAGTACTAATGTCGGCTTTCGGTTTTAAGAAAAGCCACGGATTTCCGAAATCAGCACAAACCAAACTATTCAAGAAGGCAGTCGTCTGGTACTGAATTGTAAGGCTTCTGGAGACCCACGACCTCAAATCAGTTGGATCGTCAAGAAACCAAATGTTCGAGATCCTTTCATCTACTCTGCACTCATATCCGGCCAGCCAAACACTGAAAATATTTTAGAAAACGTTTTTGACGCAGGAAGAGTGGGAGGCGAAGATACCGGAGGCGCTCTCATCAATCCCGGACCTCTCGATGATCGAGTCCAGGTTCTATCAAACGGCAGTCTTGTCGTCAACCAGGTGCTATTGAAGGATGAAGCGGAGTATATCTGTATTGCAGGGAACAAGCACGCAATCCAGACACGCCAGGGTGTCCACGTCAATGTTCTTAGTACGTTCCTCTGGTAACAATAAGTTGAAGAGGTGAAATCAAAAGACACTTTTGTTACCTCTTACCTTTTGTGTAGCCTGCCTCAAGTAGCGTGCTTTTTTGCTTAGCTGCCGATGAATACGCTAAGCTGGAACACGGGGAGGAAAGTTTGAGTCCGGGGATGGTGAAGACAATCGTGATTGTCGTCAACTGCGCGATCGCTTACCTGGGTCTGATCTTCGGTCTGACGGTGTACTGCAGCATTCGGTACCTAAAGAACCGCCGTAATCGTGCCCAAAATGGTGAGTGTACTACACAAACGTTTCTCGAACACTTCATGATATTTGTGGGCAATCAAATAATCAATCTTTGCTAATCGAATTTTGATACTTCTTGGATGGAGGGTTTTACCTAGACTTGCTGGAACTGATTGTTGATCTTCTGGGCTTCCCTTATTTTTGTCAGTTCACTTTTGCACACGACAATTAGTTTGGTTGAACTTTGTTCATTACTTTTTCTTAGCAAAGACTCCGGAATCGGGTCACTTGATTGCGCAGGGTGCTCCATCTCTAACCCAGGATAACAACTGTGCTCTCCTCCTGAATGACGAAATGATGACAGCGGGTTCCAGAGCACCTACAAGTTCCCCGAACGACACGTCGGCCACCGACTTGGGTGTGATGCAGAACTTCAATTACCGTAACAACGGCAGTGCCAAGGGCTACCCACCAGGCAATAACTTTCCCATTGGCGATGGACCACCTCCACCGTCCCGACAACTTCTCCCCACCAGTGGATACGCCTCCAACGATCTGTCGATGGCGACAAAAAACGGAGGCAGTACGAGCGGGCAGGCCTACCCCGTGAGTGTCACTAGCACTACCACGGGTGACTCGTGTGCTTCCAGGATGGTGACGGCGCCCCCTCCAACTCCCCTAGACTCCCGATCCCACTTCAGTGGACTCTCCTCTTCTGGCAATTCCGCCAGTGCCTATTCGCGCTCCCTCATTAGTGGTGCCTCGAATAGCACTGGACCGCCATTTTCAGGAGGGGGCTATGCCGTGCACGGTGGCATGGTCCTCAATGGGACGGGCACACTCGGTGGCCAATACCCCCCACCAGACATGATGGCGTACAATCACCGTGACTAGAGTGACAATAAGCCATAAGAACTTATAACAGTAATTTAATTTTGGGTAGGTTATTATGTAATTCTCGTATTAAGTGTGTATGATAACATGTAAAGGATTGGTTTTGCAAACTGACTTGAAAAATTTGTGCCTCTCTTGACTGGCGTCAAGAGGTTTGACTGTGGTAGAAAGTTTTTCCCCACTCAAAAGAACCCTTAGTCAGCCAGTATGCTGCACCAGAACTTTAGCAAAACCCGACCATTTGTCCTTATGCACAAGGGGTTGCGACCGTTTATTCTGCCAATCTCGAGTGTTTATGGTCAGTGCACAACTTTCAGGCTTGTTTCGTGGCAATGTATTCGCGTTGTTTTACCGACCAGATTTCTAGACTGATAATAAATTGCAACTAAGGTAGGATGCATAAATCATTCCTGTAGAATCTGAGTTATCTTCCCGTAGCGTGTGGCAGACTCATTAGGCTTTACCTCATCATATATCTGTCTAGACATACAGACTCTCGTGCAGACAAAATGCGTCAATGCCACATTTATCATGCAGAAGCGTAATAAACGGCCTGTCATCGTGACAGAGACGTTCGCATGCGCGACTGGTAAACCCATTACTTTTTTTAGATTATCAGTGTCTCTGAAACTCCCCTCCGCAAACTTCTGCGCAACTCCACCGTGGTCTAGTTGGACCTCCTCCCTCTTTTTGAGCAGATTGTAACATCCGATTGAAAAGGACCTCGCGCAGGGAGACCGAGTGATCAATCGGCACCCCAGTGCTTAAGTAAAGCGCCATCTCTCTTCCTTCCCAAATGACCTTTTAGAAATCGCTGGTGAGAACGGTCCATCCGGTGAATGACCTCGAGAATCTTGAGCCCAACTCCATTCAAACCATGTCCAACTTTTAGTGACACCAACTATCTTCTCATTATCTTTTTAAGTTCATCAAATAGCCCAGTTTTTTCACTTGAATGCCTATATTATGACGAAGCGAACTAAACAATAGCACCCAATCGCGACGGTAACTGCGATTCTGATAATTGAAGGAATGACGACGTTTCTGATCGCTGCATTAAAAGGTGCCACGAGGGGACAGCCATTTTGCCAATAAAATTAGCTGCATTTATTTTCTGCCTCTTTATCGGTTTCGTGTCGTTAGAAAACCAAGGACTTGGGCTTCTTATTAGCCATTAAGTTAAATCATGGATTGCATAAATAGTCATTTGAATTACGTAAGCACTGCTTCGGACACTTTACTCGGCTATATGTTTCTGACGATGCTAGATGACAACATCGTTGCTGTTTCTTTCACGTGTCGCTCTGAAGGTAACAGGGAACAAGGAATTCTCTCTTGCTGCGTGTTTTTTCCACGTCCTAACTGATCGGAGCTATTCATAAAAACCTAGTTGATTTAAGAAAACTACGTTCAGGACACCCTTCATAGTCAGCTAGGTTAATTTTCGAATTATATATTAGTGGAAAAAATTGGGATAATCGTCCCTAGAAAAACTCGGTAATGCTGGTATTCTCCGTGTTAATTAGAGGGATCGAATACTCTCCACTGCAGAATTGTACGACATTCCTACAAACTTAGGTACTGAAACGATGAGGCGAAAGTGTGACAGTTTAAATGCTAATGTAACTAGTGGTGGCGTGTTTCTAGAAATGGCCGGGAGAAATCGAGTGCATAGACCCTCGAGTGGAACTAAAATTGAAGTACTGCACCGTGTACTCCGTAAACCATCGGTCAAAACGGTGGCTCCAGTGGTTCAGTGAATCCGAAATGCATCTCCTTAAACGCGCATAACACAGTCCATCCCCAGTATACACAAAAAGTCGTTATTGTGCATTATTGTATTGCAGATAGCCCTTGGTGAAGGTTCCTTGTCACTACGGGCACGTGAAGTGCTACGGATAGGTTTTCAAGCCCTAGGTCTTCCTGTCTTCTCTTCATTTATCGACCCTTATTGGATTTGTCACCGGGACCACGTTTCTTGGTGCGCATTTCAATTATCTGTTGGGACTGCTTTTTCAGAGCGATGCGACTAGGCGCGCCACCATCGTCGTACAACATGTCGTCATCGTCTAAAACAGGGAAACCAATTCGTCAGACGTAAAATTTGACGAAAATTTAAATGATTTAAATATGGGCAGATGGAGTCTTTTGACTGACCTGATTTTCTATTCCTTGACGGCTAGAAAACATTTCGTGGGTAATGCATCACAAATTTTAATCAGTTTTTTTAAGATCCCTGTGGTTGTGGTCTCTCCCGGATATGGCTAGAAAACATTAAGTCCCTAATGGATTTATTGCCATTGTATTTTTTATTGGGTCAACTCTGATTTCAAACAAGAAACTGATTCCGTGCGCCCAGTTTCGTCAAATACTTTGGTGACAACAAAAATTCTGCACGACATTGAGGTTTATCTTAATTGAAAACTACCCCAACATGCTTGTTTGCAATACGAGCAGAGTAACCATATCGAAACTAAAGGTAAGGCGACTTCTGGGGCCTGTTTCAACTTATTAAACAGATTTGCACTGAATCGAACTCCTCTACTTGACAGTTTTAATAGTCGAGGATGCCACACGTCAGGCCAAGCGTCCAAGTAGCATCAATATTTACCGGCGTGAGCTTGACTCACTCCGCGCCTCCTAAGACCATTCACGAGATTCGTGGACGCGCGCAATCTGTCGCGTCGTCTCTTTTTCCCAAGTGCGACATGCAGGCCTCTCGCATCGCCTGCCCACTCTACAGCACTCGCTCATGCACGTCTGTGATTAAAGCACCTAGCACAACGAACTTAGCTTAAGGCCTTTTTTATTTCGAAACCTGAACATCGGTTTGACTGCAGATAAAATTGAAGCTTTCACTGGCGGTCACACATGTTTCCCAAATTGTTTTTTCTTTACAGCGATGCCTGAAGGCGCAAAAGTTGCCACAGGGCTCCCTTAGTTGTGGACTGACAACATGAAAATTTAAATGTAAATCGTCTAGCCATAGTCATTGTGCCGCGTTAAACGTGAACCATGCATAAGATGTTGCAGTAACAGAAAAGTAAGTCTAGGGTAGCGTCGACAGGTCTCACGAAAATGGCAAATTTATGGGCAATCATCATTTCCATGGGAGTTTGGCCTCGTTTAGTTATTGTAGTCATTAATTCACTTAATGTTCTAACCAATGTTCCCTCCCACACAAGCATGATCGTGCCTCCTTCCTTTGTGCTTGGTAGACATTCACCACTGTCGACTTGGAATGCACACGTTAGCTGATTCAAAACGCATTACCGTCAGTTCGAAATCCCAAAAGTGGCAACAGGCCTCCACGCAACCCCCAAAAACTCAACAGATTACTGTCACTCCATTGGGAAGAAATGACATTCGTTGGGACATTATTCTCATTACTTGATCGACTGGCAAATAGTGCTATAGGGACACAGACGCCGTGGTCACCGTAAGCAAAGGCTTAAATAGTAGGTGTTCCGCCTCCTGCAACCCCTTCAAAGTGCACAACTTTTCACGCAAACCAGAACCCCATTCGCCGTGTCTTTCTCACACTCTTAAATTGATTCCAGACAAACGAACATAGCAGTGCTAAAGTAGCTGTACAACGTCACTAAGGTAGCTCATATTGCCTGACGTAATCTCGATGCCTCAAAATTTCATGTCGGATCAGCAAAAGGGGAGGCAAAACAGAGACTATTAGCGGTAGCACGCATTCTCTACTGAAAATACAATTGTTAAACTTGCATCCCAGTATCAGGCAGCCCGCAGTGGCCCCAAGTAACTCTGTCATTTCGTTTTCCGCGACAAAATCACAAGCCGAGAGTTTTCGAAGTGTGTGCAAAGTCCTCAGGCTATGTGAAACACAAAATGAAGAAACACAACAAGTGTTGCGTTTCGGGATGTCGGTAAGTCAAGCCTAAAACCCAATGGCAAATGTAAAGCAGAGAAGAGTCTTGGAACATTAAAATGAAGTTTGCTAGTAACCACACCTGCCCCCAGCAGGAAACATAAGCACTGGTCCAGTCTAGTTAACCTTGCCCTCGATGATGACGCTTCGCTGCACGAAAGCGTATATCCCAGATTAGCGAGTGACTGCATAAACAGTCGTGACGTAGGCCCTCGAAATGACAGATACCTAATTCAAGCACAGTGATGTTAACTCGGTTAGATCAATGTTCGGACCTCTAAGAACTATCCTCTATTCTATTAGCGTGGGCCTCTACAACCAGGTGACCGGCCATTGATGAAAGCTGACGGCTAGGCCAACAACTGTGTGCTACTCGACTTTTGAGAATTACGCAGCCTGATTATGCCAGCCTGCCCACATCACAAAAGAACGTGGTCCTAAATTCCACCTGCCAGAAGCCCATTCCTTAGCTTGTTGGCGACGCACTAGCTAAGAGCCCACTTCATTGGAGTGAATACCTATCGGCAATCCAAATTGATGCCAAAGACCACAAGAACCACGAGGGATCTTGGATCCTCGTCTATTGGTCGACTTTGAGTAGCCCGTTTCAACGACCACAGAGCTTCTAGCCTCAAATCTTCACCAAACGTGTCACATTCGTAGCTGCTACAAAAGAGTTCACTGGGTAAATATGAACAGGCCATATCCACGCAGAAGTGGGTCAACGCTTTCAATCCACAAATGAACGACGGCGTGACTGACATGCTAAATAGGGGGATATTGCAAAACGGTATAATGTACTTTTGTTATCTCGAATATGTAGTTACAACAATTTACAAAATTGAAAACAAGAATGGGATGGCATCAAGAAACATTTGGAATTATTGTGCACTACTCAGCCCTTGTCGCCATACGTGACAACTCCCATTATTGCTTCACACGGTGCCAAGCCATTGGGCACAAGTCGTACAACATTTCCATCTTGGCCGTCTAGATCTCGACAGAAAGCTCTCACATTCGCAACTACGAACTCACCGCGACCGACGTCAGAATTTCATATTTTCATAAGACCGAAAACCACACCATAACTACTCTAAAACAGAACCGTAAACGGTTACATGGCGGGACACGTGGACTCAATTGCGGCAGTAATTTGTTTAATATCAATTTCCAAAAGGCGCGTAATTTGAAATATTAAACGAAAATGAATAAAGCTGTTCATACCGTCAATAGGAACATCCTCGAGGTCTTGTGGAAAAACGATGCGCGTATTGAAATCCGGTACCTTGGTTTCTGCCTTCTCAAAGAACTGAAATTCCAAACAAATTATCCTGAGTACGGTCAGTTACTTTAAGTCAAACCGACAAAAAGTTTTGGTTGGCCTGATGTCTGAAAACTCAGGCGACCAAATGCAGCTCAAGTGGTTTTAAATTTCATGGTTAAGATGAGCGGAGAAGAAGAGATTGATGGCGTAAGTTGGAAGGAACAGAACCTTTATGCAAGTCTACAAATGTCTACCTGCTCGTCGGCATTTCAAACCCTTATATTTAGCCCTTGTGAAAGGCTCAATAAGGACCATAAAATTGGATTCTACCAAGTAGAGAAATTAAAGAGATAAACAATAAATGAAAATGCAGAGAAACTCACCGCGTTTGTACTTAGTAGCTCGCGGTTCTAGGTGTTAAAGAAAACAATATAAATATCGTTTAACAATTGCAAAACAGGCTTTGTCAATACCAGTTCCAGCTCGGAATTAATGCAAGAGACAAATATTACAGATATTAGTTTATTTTGTGAATTGATGATGCCCCATTTTCGATCCGAAATAAATGATGTTAGACTGATTTTCCATAGAAAAAAGTCTACATTACTACTTTATAGCCTTTAATAATTTATAACGGACGAAAGCTTTTGAGGCCACTCAGTGTGGCATTATTTTTCTAGCTAATCCATCCGTTGATGTCGTTTGGCGGAAAAAGCCCATGGATATTCTTTTTTCCGCCAAGATATTGCGTTCAATATTGCATTGTCATCACGGCAACCACTGATCTTGAATGAGGTGTTCTCACGTGATTAGCGGACTTTATTCACCGCCTTTGGAATAATTGAACTTCTGGCACCAGTCCTGCATTCCTTTTCGATGAGCCTGTGACTTCAGGATTGCAAGTAGCTGCTCACACATTGGTCGATGACCATTTCCGCAGACGCGCTAACGTGTTAGCGTGAATCATGCACCATGAGGACGTAAATTACGGGTATTGAATGTAGACTTAAAGCCCACAATGACCGCCTTCAACTAGCATTAAAATTGCGTCCAGTGGAGTGTTTAGGAGACAAAAGATTTACCGTGAGTCTAAATCGCACAGTAGACGTTCGGTTCAATTTATTGAATAAAAACTGAATATTTTCAGGTTTTCATAAGTCATCCGTTGCTGTTAGTTCGTCCTCTACGACAAGGTGAACTTCCTAAGCCTATGTTTCACAATAGTAGGCCATCAAATAGCAGGTCAAAAGGGTTGTAGCAATGGATAGCCGCTCCACAATTCGTGTTCCTTGTTAATAGTGATAGAAACAGAGCACAATTTATATGGTGAAGGGAGAGGCAAAGTCTGATCGCCAGCCAGACTTAGTATGCCATGCTGCGTTTGTATATGCGTAATCGTATATACAATGAGGCTTACTGAGGCCCAGAGGGAGTACAAGTCCGCATAAATTGTTGGTGAAGGAAGAGCTACACAGATCGCCAATCAGATGGTAAGTAATCGCTCACTATGTCCTTAATACACAAATGACTTACATTAGAAATCTCTACTTTGTTGCTCTCTTCTTCACAGTCGTAATTTGACAACGACGAAAGCAGAAGCTTTACTTTCATTGAGCAGCCTTTGATTAGACCGAGCGTTAGATCAACTTGGTCTGACTCCGAAGAACTTTCCTCAGTAGACTCCTCTAACTTTTTCGCGGGGGGCGTAGACTGCGAATCTACGAGCTCAGGTGCATCGTCTGGGGCTACAGTACTTTCGTCTGGATTCGCAACTTCCTGAGTCCCGGTTTCTGGGGGTGGCGAAAGTGCGGGTAAAGTTGTGCTGTCTTCCGATGCTGAGGGTAGCAGGATGTCACTTAATTTCTGGCAAATGTGTAGCATTCCAGCTTTGCAGCGAACCATGAGACTGCTGAGATTGGCAAGTTCCTGCTGGAGGGCCGCGTGTTCTTTTGTTGCTTCCTTAACCTTTTCAGTATATTCATTGACCATCGCTTGATTGCTAAAATGAAATTGCTACTTAAAAGTAGTGAATAAACATCTAAAACACGCAAAAACAAATGTAGTCAACTGACCTAACTAAATCCGATTCCCCATTGTACTTCAAATCTTCCCGTTCAGACTCCAAGACTTTGTGGTTCTTTCGTAAATCAGCAACCATTGCTTCTCCTGCAGTTTTAAGTTCAGTGAGATAGTTCATGGTCTCAATCTGTGAGTTAAATCTGGCGACCATTTTTACGGCATCCCTGACACCGGTTACATCGCGAATCACGCGATACATGTCTTCGTACATTTTTATCTTCTGCAGCTGCTCTTCTTTAGGGCCAAGCGCATTTATGGCAACGTTACTATGACCATCCTCGGAAGACGAAAGCGTCATCTAAAATTGTTTAGCAGGAACCTACATCGAAATATCGTTGCCAGGACAACGGATGTAACGTTAGAGCAACTACTGAAGAACGAGGATTATGAGGTCAACAAACGATTTTAACCTGGAGGCCAAACACCATTTAGCACAACACATAATTAGCTATGCGAAGTGATTTCATAGGGGCACTAAAGAAGTGCATTTCATGTGGTTCCTAAGGACGTTAAATGACACTACTGTCCAAATAATCGAGCAATTTTCATCTCAAGTAAAACAAAAAAGACAAGCACGACTTATTACTGCAGAGCAGTGGTAACATAAGTTTCAGCACGAATCGTGTTCTAGTGGACATTTAAATGACCAAATATCGAAATCACGGATCTAACAATATTTGAATTCATTGTGATTCATTAGGTTTCTATCAATCACGAATCAAGAGCGATCACACTCGTGTACTGTCCATTTCTTAGACCAAAAGTTGCCAAATAAGCAACGCTTCTATTGTTGTACTATGGAACATGAACCGATAACAGGTGAAATAACTCAAGTTTACAATAATGTTAGTGTGTGCGAACATGCAAATTTTATAAACTACTAAAATTAATAACAATAACTAAAAATCAAATTTAATTTGTTTCCTGACGTTATAACTTAGCTTACTTTTACAGTATAGTTAACGTGTTCATTTAGGTGATCATAAGCATTAGAAACAGCACACATAACATAGATCAAATACCAGGAATAAAGATACAACCTTACTTAAATAAAGTTATGAACGGACCATTCTCTTATCATTCTGTTCCCGGTCACCTTTCTTGTCTTCAGCTACTTTTTTCATTGCGGTTAATTCAAATTCCCGTCGCTTTCGTTCAGATCTACTTAATTCTTCTCGATACTTTAACTCCTGCATTGCAGAGTCTTTGGCAAGAATGGCATCGCTATGCATTTTATGTAAATTTTCTAATTCTTTTTCCGCATCCTTCAATTGAATTTCGAGACTGTTTAAACAAGTTGGAAAAGTGAGATGCTCCTAAAAAGCTGGTATTTCTAAATAATCATACCTCCTCCAGTTTAGACTTGATTTGCTTGTATGTACGGTATATGTGGTCAGCCTCCTCACATTTCAGCTTGGCCTTATCTATATTATTGTCCAAGTTCCTAAGATCCCTTCCCAAGTCACTGCTCTTCATTAAATTATCCATTTTAACCTTAGTATCATAGGTCTCACAGTATTTTCGCTTAAGCTGATTCAAGTAATCAATTTTTTTATTCGTTTGGTGTTTTAACGCATTTAGCCTTTTCATTGCATCACATGTGTGATAATCCATTGTATCAATAGCTTCCTTGACCAAGTTACAAATTTAAAAAGAATCTACTGCTCTAGTTTTATTGCTAAGCCGAGCGCGTTCCTCTGGTTTACTTTGAAATACATGGTTAATTATATGTTCATCAGCCTAGAAATGATAAAACCACTTTATACAAACCGCCAATTTTTCTCGTAATGTGTTTCTTAGTGTTGCATTTTCAAGGCGCACTTCAACAATTTTCTTCTTACCATCTGTCAAAGCCTGCAAAGCACTCTCATAATATGCCTTCCGGTCACCCTCTAAAGCAATTAAAAAAGAACCAAAATACCAAGTAAGTTTAGTTTCGCCTTTATTTCTTCAATTTTTTGGTTCGTCGTTTGCAGCAATAATTTCGGGTCAGCCTTTGCATCATTCATTCTCGTGACAGTCGAAAGACGCGCCTAAATTAAGCGTCTCAGCAACCTCTTCTAATCAACAGGCGCTGTGGACATTTAAGTAATAACCCTTCGTAAGTTAATGATCCGCGCACTTAAATATGCATTCTAAAGTTGAAAAAAATTATAAAAATGGTGATGAGACATGCACAATTTGCAGAATAAATCAGATCACTTCATGGGTGTAAGAAAAAAGTTAAAATTAGTGCTAATAAAAACAAACAAACTAAGGTCACTTATTACGCTAATAAATCATTTCGGTATCAATCTGGTAAATATGAACTGAGTTCATTCTTTAATTTCCCTGAAGCATTCACCACATTAAAATGGTAACCATAATTTCAGAACATATTTTGCAGCTATGACGAGCATCAGCATATTTTATCTATGAACAAACCACGAGCAAACCTCGACATGAGCTCGCCTAACTTCTTTATCACTGCTACCTGCCCATATTTTGACTTACCCCGTATACACATCTGTGTACCTATAAAAACCAATGTTGAGTATTCTGTCCTTCCTATCGCACTAACCAGGGCTGCCAAAAGACGTCATCATTCCAGTGCCCGTCTGCAAATTTTCGCCTGTCCCAATCGTGCGTAACACACAAAATTGCTAAGCAAACTAGTATGTGGTCGTTCTCATTTGTCTCCACAGGTATACTGTCAGTGTACACTTTAAGTTCAACCAATTAAATTATATTTGTCATTAAGTTAGTGGGGCAGAGGATTCTAGTTGAGGAACTTCAGCTATTAAGACCTAGAATACTTTTAGTTCCTTCGCCTTCGTCAATCAATAAGACAAAAGAAATACTTTTATTTGCGTATTATGAATTTTAAAAATTGATGCTTTGAAAAAAGTTAAAATTTAACGTAGTTTGACAAAACCTAAAAAAATGGATGTTTATGGGTTAACCAGATCTTAATTGCATTAAATATAGTCTTCCCATAACACCAGTTATGATGTTAGGGATTTTTAAAAAATCGTAACTATCTACGAAAACTGCGTACGCTTTTATGATGCAAGCGGCAACCCAGTTTCAACTGCCTATATATTGCTCCAGAAAACTTAGACGGAACAGGTTGAATCACTCTGATGCGGGCACTAGTAATTTAAACAGAGATTTCAGCAATAATTTAGCTTGTGTTGTTTTCAAATCCGCTGGCTGCTCATAAATACAGAAATGGACCACAAAACCTCTCAGAATGCGGCCATAATACTGCAATTAATTACGCGCAGTAAGTTAGTAGATTGCTAACAAGCGTAAGTGAAGCTTATCCAGGAGTTGGTCGGATTTCATCTGATATCGAATACGGCTGACGTTCGATATTTAATTATGCACTCTGTTATAAAAGACTTGGACGGTCAAATGTAAAAAAAATCGCTATTTCCGCTTTCTTCTCTCTCGCCTTTTTTCCCGAACTGTTACGGACTGGCAACTAGCAGGGTTGTGAGTTGGTGCTAACGAAGCCGACAAAAATCAAATCCATGAAGTTTATCTTATCCAAAGGAGCTAATCACTAGAAATCACCAAAAAGAGGTTTTGCAAAAGGTACCTTACGGATTTGCAGCGTCGTCTTACTCGGCAACTTCAGAAAGAAAATTGCAGAAGCACTAGATTATTGTCACGAAAGATGTCATTCTAAAGCTCTACATATGTGAGACTAATTTACATGAAATACCTACGCGAATCAGACTGAAGCTTTTAACACATTCTCAGCCGCATATTCTTACTAATGAGGTGTGTAAACTAGAGAGACTAGACAAAAGTATTTAATGTGGAGTGACTTCGGGCGGTAGTCAAGGCACCTCACAGATTCAATACTTTAAGCGTCAAATCGACATATTGACCAATGCTGCCCTGACAACACCAATCCTCGTGTTAATTACAGAGTAAGCCCATGATAATGACTGAGCCCCAGGAAGACCTTCAACTAAATGGACACTGTGGAAATGGGAGACAAGCGAATTAGATACAGCCATGATGCTACTTACAAGCCTGTAGTAGACGCAAATGTAACTGATGAATACTATGTTCCTCACCCATATCTGTACGATTATGCTGGGCCCAGTGATAGTCTTCGAAGAGTGCTAATAACTGATTTTTAAAAAAAATACTCTAAAAGGATGCATGACTACTGGGAGGAATTCCTCACCTTTACAATAAGCGCGAAACTATTTGGCCAACGCCGCACTGAAAGAACATTCGCTGGTGTTTTAATAACGTATTAAACCATCCAGAGGGATTTGTGGGAAATCGTTCAGGCAAACCACACAGAAGCAATTAGTAGGTTGCACGCATGCACTTATAGGTTCCAAAATTCGTAATCACCAAAAAGGTGCCATAGAAACGGTTATGGGAAACGTTGAGCTGTAAATTAACTAACAAATGATAACGTTCTTAGAAGAACTATCGAAACTACTTATCTGGTAGATCATTTTCCTAGATTTAAGCCTGCCAAAGAGCACGCAAAATGCATCTCACCATTCCAAGGCCAATGTGAATAAAGGGGATGGGAAGGACATCAACTTCATGAAAAGACAATAAAGTAAGTGAAAACCCACTAACATGGCAGTTCGCATCTACTTGTAATAACCCGTCAACCCAACTAGCCCAAAAAACTACCCACAGCAACCAGCAGTGAAGCACCAACGTACCCGCATCTGATGAAGACGGTGCTAGATCTTGCAAATATGATAAAAATTATCCTACATGTTAGTGGCTTAAATAAAAGCATGAGTACATGTAGCACCAGGCACAGGGCAACTACATTAACGCAGAGTGCGTACATGTGTGCATGTGAAGAAGAGGGGTCGAATGAGATAACAGTGGGGTGAATGGTGAAGGGGGAGGAAGAGGATGGTGCAAATATACAAAGGTTACCATCGATAGGTGCATCCGATCGCAAAGAGAATAGGGACTAAGTGATGGGGTACATAAGGCCTTCGGGCAATAAATAAACTCAGGAGGTCCGGTGGTTGGCATCGCTTGAGTCGGAGGGCAGCGAGAGAGAGAGAGAGAGGCGGTCAGTGTGCTTGAGCGCCATCAGGTTGGGGTCGGCGCGCCGTCAGTTGGGGTCTGCTGTATGGGCGCATCGCCGTCCAACTGGAGATGAGGGAAACAAGGAATTCAGCGGTATCACCTTGCGCCACTCGAAATGAAGCCTACTGTGACCCGCTTAATAATGCTCGTGATATTTACCTTCGTACATATAAAACTGAAATCCCGAACGAGTAGCAGTAAAAGCATTTCACATCGGGGAGAAGAGGTGTGGGTCGAATGAGTTTTAAGGCGTCCTATAAAACTACATTAAACACAAGTATCCTTGAAGATATGGTAAATTAAGCAGAGTTAGGCTTATTTATATGGGAAGTGTTCACCATTAGCTCAAAAAATATAGCCCGTGCAGTGGTATCAAGAGCAGTCGGGCTTTTCACTGCATTTGCAAACAGTCGGGATAATGACACGGTCCGAGAGATTATTCGGGCAATTAATTTGATTCGGCATGTCGGGGGAAAAAGCCATGGTTGGTAGTGATTTAATGGCATGACGAATTCCAGTAACCGAAACGATTGCAGTGTGGCTAAAAGAAATCGCACTCGTGATGAAAGAACAGTGGCTTTCGGAAAAGGAACTGGATTGAGAGACTGCGCGAATTCGCGGGTTTGATACGCAATTAGACCACTGAATATACCTCTTTTTAACCACAGAATTTGAAATGGGGTCTTACAGTGACAGAAATGATGACTAGCGCTGCTACAAGCGGTCAAGTGGCATCAATTCACTAAAACGGCTGCGCAGTAAAACAAGAAAATTCTCAAGAAGCAAAATTAAGGCAATTTCAGGCCCTCTAAAATAGAAACGCACCGATCTGAAGACAAGGTGTCTGTACAGCCTGACAGTTCTTTGCCAGACGAGTAAGATATGCATTTCCTGATTATTCATCATCTTAGTGCACTCATTGGCTGGGAAATTTGAGGAGACACGCCTACATGACCGGAATACTACCCGCGTACTCAATAGTAGAAATGTCACCATTCGCTAACGCAGTGGGCTACAGCATTTAGCCACAGAAACTACAAGCCACAGATTACGCTTTAAGGGTCAAACACCCCAAACAGTACTAGGCATTAAGCACATCGGGCAGGACCTAGATGGAAAAACAAGGGCCACACGTGGAGGTGATTAACGTTGAGTTATTCGACACATCCACGCAGTCAACAACACGAATCACACGGGACACCAAAAAAATCAGGACAATTGCCTGTAAAACGCATTTCCAGGCCACAGTTTGCCCCCAAGAGTTATCAAGATGCCACAAAGGGACTCACCGAGTAGAAGAGAGCAAGAAACTTATCCCGAAAATCGGGAGAGTCGAGGTGCTGTGGTTGTTGGTGGTGATGATTGTTTGAAACTTGGGGTGCGCAAGGAGTAAGAACCTCGTCTTGGGCGGTGTCAGGGTGAGAAGCGGGACTCTGGACGGCGGAGAGGGGGAGGGTTAACACGGCAGAATCCGTCGCTACAGAATCTGCCACGTCAGATTCACCAATAGACTACAGAGGGAGGCAATGAACGCGCAAAGTCAAGACTAGGCTGTAGCGGTTGGCATGACAAGCGAAACGCACGTGGATTTAAATCACAATGAGATAGGAACATCATAGCAGTGGTATGAGAAATACAGCGGCGTTCTTTCGGTCAAAGACACGGCATAATTACACCTCAAGCAAATGTAAGCTGTCATGAAACCACGGAAGTTGAAAAAAAAACGCGTGGTACGGGAGTTTAAACAAGTAAAAAGGCAAACAATGTTATGCATAGTATGTCATCTTTCTTAATGGAGTTGTCATGAGTAGAAGCAGAAGATGATACAACTTACAGAGTATTGTTGCGCAGATTGCAAATATGAAAATTCAACGTCAGGGATGAATTCTTAATTGAAATATCTGTCAACACACACACCTGAAAAATGTCAGGGCTATAACTGTGAGCACCCGTCGTTTGACACAAAGTGAAGTGGATATGATCGTCGACACAGGACTATTTCGTAAACTTATGTTGGTTAAACAGCCAGGTCAGGCAAAAAAATATTGACGGGATTTCGGTTTGCCATTCAACGTCAGCGCAGTAAAAGCCTTGATCCACCGGAGGAGTTTTGCAAACCAAACGCCTAGGGCAGTGATAAGCACTACAGCTTAACTCTGTGACTGAGAAAGGGCATGAAAGGGGATTCGGAAGTTTCAGTAATGCCGTCACGCACACGGAAATGACACACCCAATGAAATATCGGTCGCCTCGAATTTAAAAAAAAAAACTAAAAAAAATACTGGAAATGGAATAACGAAACCGCGATTTATCGGAACAATACCGAGCACTCAGGCGAAAGCCTGAAAAAAAAACGCGGATTTCGGGAGCAGGGTCCCACCACCAGTGAGTCCCGGCCACAGGAAAAAAAGGCACGCTGGCCGGCCGCAAAATGCTACGGTGGGCGTGCGAGCAGTCGGCAAGCAGCTTCAGTGTGACTCACACTTGCCTGAAAACGATGCCTGAAAGCCGATGGCATTTTAGGCGATTAGCTACGAATAGGATCATCGGCTTTTAGACAGTCTCACACAAGGGGGCAAAGACACAGCAACACTGAGATTCGCGCCAACACAGGGCACTGTGCAAATACCAGGGTTAGAATTGCAAAAGTGCTTGGTTATGTCAGATTGGTTTAAAAACTAATTAAACTCACCAGTATTAACTCTGAAATTGGAAGGAAATTGTTTGTCTGTATACAATGGATCAAGCGAATTCGGCGAGATTAGAAACAGCGTCGAAGAGCTCATAGTTTATCTGGATACTCAGGCAGCCATTCAACAAATCTGTCTTTACCTCAGAGAAACCAACTTAAACAGCTTAGTGTCACCAGTACGGACCAGATTGGCTTAGGTTTTGAATTATGCTGGAATGTAGATGGCACAACGCGGGCAGTATGACCAGTGACTTAACATAAGACGCAGACACAACTGCTACCTTCCAATCGCTGATGAGATAACCCAGGTAGGGGAATGGTCAAACCAGGCATTTCGTGGAAACTCGGATCGCGATCGTTTACCTGATTAATTGACTGTCGGGAAGAACTGGATTGAAGCGATGCATCTGAGTCCACGTGTTGAGGGATGATGGGCTGCTCTACTGCCAAGCTAAAGTTCCCCGTAGAGCACCGCGCCACTTGGTGCTGTAAATGCGATTGTGCCAGGTCTATCAGGTTGATCATCACGTCGGGTCCTTGGTGGGCGACGTGCTGAAAGTCGGATGGCGCAGAGATCAGACGGGAACCATTGACGTTGGAGGAGCGGGATTTCGAAAAGGGAAGGGAGGGACCGCCTGACGTCGACGAGGAGGAAATGCCATTGCCAGAGCAAGCGTTTGACGACTGATCAAGTAACTCCATGGTCGGGAAAAGCGAGCCGCGAGAAAAGAATGAGAAGCGTCGTGATTTCTGCGAAAAAGGAACAAACAGGGTCTACTTGGGGGCATTTAACCTTGTGCAGAACGTAGTTTAAAAGAAACATTCTTGGATTGAACCCGGTAAAAAACCGTAAACAACGGAGTGAAGCAGTCTAATCGAATCAAACCCCAGAGGCCGTCAAGGTTAACGGGTTGCTTCAATTAATTAGTCTTCTCTGATAATACGCCTAAAAAAACACAGAAAATTCTTAGAATTAGTTAGATCTCCGGAAAATTAGGCGTACAACATGAACTTAAAGTCAGTTACTACGCATACACCGACAGGCGTGGCAACGAACCAGAATAAAAAGGAAGACTCACTCTGACTCGCGTAGTCGCATCTAGGAGAGAGACATTTCCCAAATCCAACTGCCTGTCAGGATCGCTAGAAGTCAGGTGGCTGAGTGGTCGAGTCAAGGGGGAGGTCAGCAAGGAGGCGTTCCGCCGGCGCTGTAGTGAAGCAAACATGGATTGACGGGGAGGGGGCAGGTAGACCAGGGTCGCGGTCGCTCCCTGGTGGCTGAAAGAACCAGCAGCGCCACCAATGCCGCCGACGCCGCCACCACCACCAACACTGCTGGACAGTTTGGGGACTGCCTGACTGCTGCCGTGCGTCATCAGGCAGAGGTAGCCGTCGGACGTGCTCAGAGGCAGAAGTCGTCGCGTGCCCGCCGCAGAAGCACTCCAGGTAGAGGTCTCCACGTTGAATAGGAAGAGGCCAGACTCGGTGAACACGTGGAGGAAGGGTTGGCGATAAGCGAACCCGCGAGACAGTGGCTTCGCTGGCCAGAAGAGGTGTGTTGGACGAGTTGGCTGGCCCTGACTGTCGATGTAGATTGCACAATCTAACAGAGAAATAAACACAAGATAGTACTGGTACTAGGGCCCGGCGCTAAGTCAGAAGCGGAAACTTGGCTTGTCAAGATGGGTTGTTTCAGGCATAAAATTTCAACTAACCACGCAGACAACTAACGTTTAAAGACGGTACTTCGGGGACTAATGCTATCAGAATTTGGTTTGTGTGCAATAAGAGTTAAGTGGCAAGACCTTGTCCTGAAAGGCCGAGATCTCAAGCTTGAGTTTTTCAATCTACACTTTTCGGTTGAAATGACGCCATCCGCCAGGTCAACAAGAGCGGTCTTGGTGGGAAACCACACTTGCGTCAAGACTCACCCGGTAAATAGCATTAATAAGCACAATGGGTTTGATTACGTCGCTAAGTTAGAGTAATGAGGGGTATTTTGAAGACGATAGCTAGCAGGGTCAGGAGGCATGAGTACGTACTGTCGAAGACGAGGAGAAACTCCTCGAAGTTCAGCGGGATGGCCATTTGGGCCTCAAATTGGTGGTGACGGAACATCAGCAGGCTGGAATCCAAATCGATGCACGAAGGCTCCAGCAAAACTGAAAGACAATAAATCGCTCTTTAATAAGCATAATTAGACCCAGCAATTAATGTTTTAGGGTGTTGTAAATTAATGTAAATAACTGACTCTTTCATACGAAAGACAACACAATGTGCACTATTCTACGTGCGATCACGACCGCCATGAATGAGAGACAGGCGAGGGCGCTGTGAGCACCCGGGAGGGGTAGTACAACCCTTACAAGAGAGACCAATAATGGTCAGAAAAGCCAACCAACTGTGAAGACAACCTAAATTAAAACGCCAACTCATTTGATTCTATGCATAAGTATGTTGGGTGATTCTGAAACCTCCGCAAATACCTGTCATTGATCCCTTGGACCAAATGTTGTAGATTACAAAGGAGCTTTCATTGCCAACAGCGAGCCAATCACCATCGCGCACGAGGTTAATGGCCTGCACCAAGGAGGGAGAGGTCAGCTCGACAACACGTCGATGTCGCGTCACCTCTCCCACCACTTCGTACACCCAGATGCTTGTGGCGCCAGCAGCGCATAACAGGTAAGTTGTGCGACCCCGCGACCAGCCGTGGCAGAGCAAGCTCACGCCCTGTTTGGGCTCGGCCACTCGGATTTTGTCGTAGTTCATGCCTTCGATGGCACCGGAGAGGACAAGGCGAAGACGGCGCTGTTTGTCTACGGAAAACAAAACAAGATGGAGTACAGTTTCCACGGACTGGCTGAACCAACTACATGCTTGAGATGTCGTGGGCGGATGGTATTATCGGACTGATGAAATATTCACACTGGCCAACTAAACCAAGTCACACAAAAATATCCTGATGATTTCGCACGAATAAGATTGCTTTGAAGAGTACGACTACTAATGCACTTGTATGTTGGCCAGGCGATTTTAATGTTCCCATGAAACACTGAGGCCCCGGGTCGACAATTACAGTAATCGATGGAGTCTAAATGCGGTGAGTCAGTAATTGATCACGTTGTGAGTGCTAGAGTTACTACACATGTTGGGCAACTTTAGTTCAAGCAAGAAATCCGAAAAAATCAGTCTAGATAAAAGTACACTGCTGCTTTTGAGAGCAAACACAAATTACCAAAAACTAGACCTACAGAAAAGAGATGAAAACAAACCTTGTATAACGGCGACTAGTTGAAGTTCCTCGGGCAGAGCCTCAACCTGGTAGATTGGCTTCTTTTCTCCAACACGAGCATAAGCTTTAAGAAATAAGGCGGATAAAATAAAATCGCGTAACGACTCGTTATTCCCAACGAAATGACTTTACGGACGGTAAAACTAGCCAAGATGCTGCAATAAGAAGCTGGCGATTTTTACAACTTACCTCGATCACACCTAGACAGACAAATTACATACTTCACAGTGGCTACTACGACGGAAATCATTGTGCTATGAACTCCGAGGAATGCATTGTGGCGCGGTAGGCCTTCTAAGTAAAAAAACGCTACGAAGCAACCCAGCTCCCATGTTTCTGTGACAGTTGTTATAAGAACAATTAGCACTAGGGAAACCCTAAAGCGTTGAAGGTTTAGGCTTAACATAAACATGGCAAGTTACATAGAAATCGAGCGTTTTTCCAAATGAAAATGACCAAAATTAGCGCATAGAGAAAGTCACAAAACAAATTGGTTTTGCGAACCTCGAAACCCACGTGACAACAAGGCCGGTGGATAATATTGCGTTGGGCGGCACACCTAACTGCCCGCAAGATTGCACTGAAAAAAGACCGCAGCCGGATAACGGTAAAGGTAGGCCTTGCTCAAGGCTGATCATCAAAGGATAAATAAAATTCGCCCACAGAGAAACGGCCTTAGAGTGAGTCAGTGTAACGAGACAAAAAGTGAGCGTTTGCGTGACAATTGACAGACAACGGATACTTCTTCCACTGGTGCATTTAGAGAGAAATATGCGGTATGGATTACTGCCCCTTCCGGGGAGACGAAATTTAATTTGCTGGTACCAAGACCGTAATCGTCCCGAAATCTAAAAAGCGCCCAACGTGTCGATCGGATATTATGAACGCGGCATCATTAACATGATAGAAACCAGCAGTTAAAGCATGTGGTTATGCTAAAAGGACGCATATCTTGTTATTAAGATTAATTAAATCTTAATAACTAATCATTTATGCGAGTGGAGAAAAGAACGTACGGCAGTGGCATTAGGTAGTATGAACAGAATTGTATCTACAAGTGGGTGTTACATATATCAAGTGTTTGAAAGGCGAACCTAGTCTGACTTTAGGCGCATAACAAATCATTTGGGTGAAGAAGGCAAAATAGGCAAAACACCGGGCACACCAGAAGGGAGAAGAGAAACGATTAACGTACTTTTGTAGCGCAAGTCGACGGTGTATAGACCATCTCCGGTACCCACCAAAATCCGATTTTCGTCTATACGAAAAGGAAGAAAATAACAATTTGCAAAATGCGACAGGAGCGGTGATAGTGAGGTGGTATAGGAAGTGAAAAGCCGAGTTAAACCAACCAACACGCACACAGACCGCCAGCAGGACAGCCACCACCAACTAGCACGTGAATTGAGGTGACTACCAGAGCAGAGCACGACTGCACCAGAAACAAGACCAATTAATGAGTGGTTTTTAGATCACATCGACATTCTGTAAGTGTAACATTGAGCCCAGGAAAACAGGGACCATCTGTGTGAAGCGGTTAGTGAAATGTTTGACGGTGGTTATTAAATCTGGGCTACGTAGGTCGCTATCCTACATCAATCCCCAGCACTTTAAGTCAGCTGATTGTCCTTTTGATTAATCTAGACAAAGCAAGGCTTCCTTGACGAAGGCTATTCATAATCATGACCAGGATAAACACCAGTTTTCCTACCTAAGATAGGCCGGAGACGCGGAAGATTGGTGAATGAGAGCACACTTAACAAGTCCAGGAGGACTCACCTAGGACACAAGCAGAGAGGATGTGCTTGATGAGAGGGAAGCTGGCGTCGGATAGGACATGGAGCTGGAGGCACTGGGTGTCAGGAGTGCGTGCGAAATTACGACTCAACAGGTGCACAGTGTCCTCTAAAGCCGCGTGCCACCGATCACACTCCTCTGAAGTGTCGAAGAGCAGGTAGATTGGGGAGTTGCCAGCGTAGTCGTCAGGGCTCACCTACAAAGGTTCATTGACATATTAAAGCTCAACTTTTGATAATCCATAAAACTAGACTCAAATGTCATCGTGGATCCACGTTTGTAGAACAGGTCTAGAAAGAAGATCGCGTTGAATTAATAAGACAAGGAAGTGTTTGAAATCAGCGACGATAGTTCCAAACAGAAAACAACGCGAAACCATTGTGCAACACTACGTGGAACCATCAGTGCGAATAAAGCAGCGGAGCGCATGTGTTTAAAAATTTGTCGTTGTGCTTTACTTTGAGTAATCGCCTTCAATGCACATGAATTCCGTGAGACAATTACAAATCGACAAGTGCCTCGTAGTTAAAACGGGTTTGAGAAACATTTGTTTTACAGAACACAATAATGTAGACAAAAATGGATCTTCAATGACTCAGAGGACCGTATTGCCAAAACCAGACAAGAAAGTGAGCCGAAAAAGGCAACGACACGCTCCTGGAAGTGAAATTTTAGACTGCGAGAAATATTGAAACAAGTTATAAAACTAGGAGACGGAAATCCACTATTGGCCAACAAAGGCGCTACCATTCCTCCACACTGACCTGATCAAATGAAAGTCCCCCGAAAAAAATTACAGGCGCTGAATGGTCTTGGAGATGCTCCAAGACTATTTTAATAAATTACTGCTATCAACAGTCACAAAAACCACGCTAAGCGTCGGCCTGTAGGGTTGCACCTCAGGCATTGGCAAGTCCTAATAGATTTTTGTCCGCAAACTGTAGTGCATATGGTGCCTTCGCAAGTCCTTTTGCTTACTCCAGAATACCCCCGTCTGGCGAGCGGCGTGGTAGCACTACCGTCTCAAATTTACGTGTGCTGCGTGTGCGGTCACATGCTGCAAGACATTAGTGACCCAGTATTAACAAGCGAAATCATCAGGGATCTGTGTCTTCGGATAAAATGATAAAGGAATTGGGGTTTCGAACATATTTCAGTTTTCAATGAAAAGATCGCTAAGCACAAGCCCAACAAACATAGCTAGGGGTGTGTTTTGTTGGTTGTAGGCGGCGAATGAAACCCATCTATTGCATTTGATTTTTCTGTTGTATGGAAAAAGCCAATAACTTCTAAGAACTGTAACCCCCCTTAAGCTACTGAGAGGCACCCCACTTGACCAAAAATCTGTTACTCAAATTTTAGCACCAGCACAAATTCAAGCCTGTTGGTGTGATAATTGTTAAGACGTTAATCCGGAATTGTAGGAGTAACTTTTAGAAAAGTCTCCACAATTTCCACCGGCCTTTTCCAATAGTACTACACACTTTGATAAAGCTTATAATTTAACACTACTACTTCACAGGGCCTCTCGTTAAATGTACACGTACGTTTTGGTGGCGTGAAGGCGATTTCATGCGCAGGTTCTGGCAAACACGCCCCTTTGATTACCAATGTTGAGGGTTACAGGGAACAGCAAGGAGAACCGTGACAGAAACAAATAAAATCCAGCTTGTCAAATGGTTTTTAGCGAAAAAGAGGACTGGGGTAAGGCAGGCAAGATTACCGAATTACAGCATTCGAAGTGGGGTTGAATACAGAGCGAAACTTGATTCCTTCGGATCTGGACAATGCCGCAGGAAACAAAATTGCACCCCTGGGTGTTTCCAAAAACTCTATTTCAAAAAGGCAACGAGAACTGCAAAATCTGTTCCGGCTAAAATACCGGCCCGAATCCGAACAAGAGGCTACCTTATAGATAGCAACCAAATATTGTGAAAAGTTAAATTGCGCAAAAGGTTGAAGGAGGCAAAGTACACGCCTTAAGTTAAGAACCAGCAACAGCATTCATAAGTTGTAGGAAGACACCAGCTTTGTTGCACCGAGTTGAGAAAAAATATAGCATAACTGCTTCGGCAAAAGGACTTCTAAAAAGGACTTTGATAAACACTATATTACAAACAATAAGACTTAGGTGAGAAAGCCGATTTAGTACACTAAAAGGATATAGGTTAGAGTTTATGTACGCCGAAGAATGTCACTCAACGAGCCCATGGAAGCGGCATCAGATTGCAGGAGATAGTTTCAAAAGTTAGACAAGGATCAAGGGACTCACTTTCAGTATCTGCGGCACTTCGGTTCGTTTGGCGTGAATAACATCAGCGTTAGACACACGCGAAACTGCGAAGCCCGAGGAGTTCAGATCGACTATGTAGGCAGGGGTGCTGCTCTGAATGTCGTAGGCCGTCTCGTAGGTGATTTGCATGGGTCCGCCGTGGGGCAGCGTAACTGAGAGGGCGCCCAAAGACGGCCTCGCAGAGACTGAGCAGACTGGGTTTTCAATAGCGGGACCCAATGTAGCCGATCGAGGGTCCCTCGAGTCGACATCTGGGTGGATGGTCTTTGCTCGACGGACGGCAGTACACTGAATGAAACACAGCATTAGGATCATGCCGTCTGGACGTTTGTTTATCATAGATGAGTTGATCCCCAATCACGAGGTCGGGAATACGGCATTGAGAATGTGGACGGTTTAAAAAAGTAACTTGCAAGTAACGGAGAGAACTAATGCCAATATATACGAGGGGTAAATCGTAGAACTCAACACTGGTAATCCCTTCAACGAGAAGTCTGCGTTTTTATGTTTAAAATATCGTTGGAATTTAATTTGGATTTTCCTCGAACTGCCGTAGATGAGCATGGGAGATTGATGCAAAGAGGCGGTGCAGTCTGGCTGGTGGAATCAGTCGGTGTGTTGCAGGAGTCGGTTCAGCAAAGACGAGGGCGTATGACCCGTGCAGCAGGGACGAACACCCTGCACTGTCACAGCCTCGCATAAACTCCTTTAAGGTTAGGTTGATGGCATTTAGAAAGCAAAGATACTGCCGTCCCCTACCTCAAAGACGCAACTTGTCCTTGGTTAAGGTCACCGAAACTGTCTACGCCTAACTACACCAGCAGCAGTAGTGCATGACGATAAATGTGCGTTATTTTCAATTTTTCACACCGCTAAAGAAAAAAAGTTGCTGCGGTACTTGTGCAAAATTAGGTGAGAAAGTGCCTGAAAGCTAAGCAGTACATTTCATGTTCTGGTAGAGGTAGAAAAGAGGGTGAAACCTACACAAAAGGGAAGCGAAACCCTCAGGGAGGTGGCCTGCGTCGGCCTCCAATATCGCATTTTCACAGGCCACGGTGGAGAGAAATGAGGGCAAACGGGACTAGGGTTAACTTACATTGGGGCGATACATATTCCAAGACAAGACTTAGTTTAATGAAACGAAAAGAAAAGTAGGGAATGCGACCCAAACATTAAATTAACCTCCAATATCCATACTATTGAGCGAACATAGTAAGTCTTAACGAGGTACACATCTACAGCTGAACAGTGCCTAAGAGGAAACCGTGACCACACAAGAGTGTCGATATGTGGTATGCATAATGATCTGCAAGGAAACTTGAAGCAAAGCAACGACTCAGGCAGCGAATATTGCAGATTTTTGTACTTCATTTACGGCGTAAGTAAAGTGAGTGAACACTTAGACTTGGTTTTAGGCAAGAAAATTGCAAGACGGCCTTGTGTGTGAATCACAAAACACTCCGGAAGAACGTGCTCAAGTTGCTCAAAAAAGCACGGGAACGAGCCAAAACTCGGCATGTGGGAGATTAACACGACAAGAGGGAAACATGACTGACACTAAACAAGCCAAAGACCGACGCTACATAATATCCAGGGTAAGTTGAATATTAATAGACAACTTATGCATCGACAATCACAGACTTAATGCATTACATGTGACCACAATAACAGTGCACGCACAAGCTACCAAAAAACATGACTACAATGCATATGAGGGTACCACACGAAAGCAAACGAGGCCCAGAGGTCAAATGAATTGAGTGCGCACTGATTAAGCGTCCGGTAGAAGCGATTTGGATATTTTACACGCAATAAAAAAATCGCAATTTTGAAGTCTACAAATACCGGAGTAGACTTTTTAATTACAATTGAGGTCAGGCATCTAGCAAAATCCGACGATGTGATTGTATATCAACGTAAACTTGATGACTTGTCATTCATCTTGAATGCGTAACGAAGATGCACTGAATTAAACGTTTCAAAATAACACAGTTTTAATAAAGATGAAAATGACCACACAGCGTCCGTAATCCCTCGAATTGTAGTCACAACTTTCTCGATTCATTTCAAATTTAAAATAAAGTTTTTCTTACCAAACACCCTTAATGCCCAATCGCCCACAAAGCAATAAAGATCTATTTGTGACTGGTGCACTTTTCCGTGCCCACAACTCACTCCACTTTGTATGTCCACCAATCATCTAGAAGTGCAACATTGACACGAGAGTGCCTCATTTTTAAAGTAACACGGCGTGCAGCGTAGATTCCTGCCTACATCCACTGCTGTTTTCTAGAAATGTTCGTCCATGAGGTAAAAAGTCCGAACAAAAAATGATACATAGGTGAATTGTCTAACAAGGCAAAAGTGTTAGCCCAAATTTCCCTGGCCCTTTTTCCAATAAGGTCGCAAAACACATACGCCAAAGGAGGAACTACAGCCCAGACGCTAGGGGTTATTTTGATCGAGGGCGTAATCATAAATGGGTTATTTGGCAAAATGTAGACAGCAAAGGCAAACCAGTGTTAGGCTAGAACGACGCATCACCAGCAATTTAGGATGTCAGCCTAGAAAGCGTCTCATTTACCAATTCGAGGAGAGTTTACCAGTTGCACAAAACGCCACCGCGTAACTCGTCTGCCCAGTGCGAGACGGGGAGGGGGTGGGCTGGGTTCCCATTTGGGCAGTTCGCGACCCGCTGATGAGACCTCGCAAGTAGAAATGTCTGTTAAAACTGAATTGCATGGAACACGTAGGACGCTTTGTTTACTATCACAATGCTGTTTGCTGATACAATACCAAGGACTCGTTTTTTAAACGAATAGGAAGAAGAGTTTGAAGGTCAATAGAGTGGGTCATTATCGGTTGCAAATCGTTTCCACATAGGTGCTTGGAACCTTGGTTTGACATGAAAAATAACCGGTTTTTTCGCCTGTTAAGATCTGAAGGTTGCCGAAAGGGTTTCATCGCAGTGTTGGATCAGAAGGGAGAAAGTGGCATATTGGTTAGTAATTATGGAAATGTCAATGGGAGATCTTGCGATGGATACCCTTCATTTGTATCACTAAAAGCGGAGAGGGAGGTTGTACATGCCATAGGTTGAGAAACGAATGCGCTAACAGCATTTTAAAACCAAGGCCGGTCTAAATGGACTCAGATTTAGTGGCATCGGACGGTAACAACACTTCCAGAATTAGTAGGCTCGTGAGAAACCACGAGCTAAACTTTGTAGCGCAAAAATAGGCCTGGAATGCTAGCCAGGCTTTGGTGACTAATTGCGCCGGCGTGTTACTCACGTCCCACCTTCGTCACCATTGTCCACTAGGTACACACAAACGCAAGTGAGGAGACGGATAAGCCCGGCGGATCCAAGTAATACAGACATCAGTTGATAACCTTAAAAGTGGTCCATGGGGAGCAAAGTTTGAGTCCACTGAAATGCGATTACCCGATTAGTGGATTCAATGAATAAAATAATGTGTAACTGTGAGAGGTGAGATTCTGCAGAATTGCGATATTGGTGCCAAAAACATCGGGATTAATTCAGTGTTAACTCGGAAAAAAACCCAGTCAATGTAGGTGCGTGAAATTTCTATTAAAAAAATGCACAAATAAGGCTTTCTGATTGTTCCCTGTCGCGGTGAATCGGTTGAAGAAGACAAGTTGGTACTGACCATGAAAAGCGACAAGTCAGAATATTTCAATACAACTTTCATTTGGCACACAAAAACAACTACCTATGAAGATCATTGACCGTTTGGAGAGAAAAACGGTTAGGGTTTCACGTACTTTCCCAGTTGACGCAGCCGGAAAATGTACTCGTTTACTATCAAAAACAATTTTCTTGACCGATAGTCGTGGGCAGAGCATTTTACCAGGCTGAGGATAGGAAAGTTACATTTACACAAAGTATGCACTAAGAGAAAAGCCTACATCGTAGATGAACAGACGCATGTCGGAGAGGAAGGCGTATTGTTGGATCCAACCTCGCTTGATGTCGCCCTTTGGAGTCTAAAATATTAAAAACGGCTTTAGAAAATTGAAAAAAGCAGTGCATGAACCTATGTGGGGAAAAATATTCGAGTCTACAAAAGAATCAATTTCGGTGGTCTTTCGGCCTAGAGCTTGATTGCACCTGCGAACGGACGATGGTTGAAGCGTGAGGCCTTGAGCACACAATCACTAACTAACAGATAACGACTGATTACCAAGGATAATTTCGGAAGAACCTTTTTCCCAGGAATATGGGTGCGTCCCGCTGTGAAGCAAGAAGTGTGTGGGTTAATTGGGTGGTTGACAGTAAATTCCAGACATTTTAGTGCGCACATACTTGCAGAGCCAAAGTAACGACATGCCTTCAGATGTTGACTACGTTTGCGCGCAGAAAATTGATGCGGGCAAATTTGGGGGAAAGGAATTACAATTTGTCAAAAGAAGTAGGGGAAGCCGACTGACAACCATCCACTGCAAAAAGCTTTAATCTAAATCGAGCTAGCCTATTTGCACGACAGAGAACCCTGTAAATGAATACCACAAGCAGAAAACAAGAAATACTAGAGAGGGCATTTTGAGGTAGCTTTGAAAGACAGTGAACATGCCAATCAATTTCATTTAATATCAAAGCATACCTTGACTGGTCCTTCCAGAACAGTGCCGAGACCACAGGCAACACCAGGGTCTAAAAAGAAGAGGTTTGAGCAGACTGATTCAGGCAGCACGTAAAATCAAGTAAGCAAGTTAACAGCCTGGAAACTAGAAAGTTATACTAAACTGGGGTGGGCGTACGCTAAATCATTCGTCAGAAACATGCCTTAAAAGGGAGGAATGTCGTGGAGTGGGTTTAGGTGAAGGCGGCAGCACGTTTTGTCGCTACAGACCCTGTTGGAGCACGATGTTTGCACTTCAATCATACAGTCATACAATTGTTACCATATTAAATGAGTTTCACATTGATTACACTGACTAAAATCGACTAAACACAGGTGGGAAGTGAAACTCAAAATTTAATGAACTATTTAGGTCAAAAGAAGACACCACGCTCTCGCACTCCTACATTTTGACCGTTTACATAACCACCTTCAAACAACCTAATGCATACAATGATTGATATATAAAAGGCTACAACACAACAGTGGGTGCTCGCTACAGGACCCAGAGTACGCCCTGAAGTCACACCTCTAAATGACTGCTTGTCTATCACTACGTAAAAATGCTCGGGCGGATAATGAGCAGCCATGTTTTGAAAAGCACTAACACGTTCAAAGCTGAAGAAAATTTAAGTCTTCGAACGGAAATCGAAGAGGTAACGATGTGATTTAACTCCGCCTCGTAGAGCAGATAACGAGACGTAGATTGACCACGACCGCACACGCACACACACGCACAAAGCGGACATAATAGGCGTATGCGCGTAGGCACTTGTGGTGCGGAGACCATTAGTGATTCACTAATGAATTAGCATCCGTCATGACGTGCTAGCGATGGAGTTGGCAGCGGCAGGAAGGAAGGAAGGACCGCATGACAAACCGCTGGCCAGTAGTCATGGTAATAGCGCTAATCTTTACATATTCTGGAGCCTTACTTGCTAGCCACACGGTAAGAACTGTCATGTCCGATAAGTCCTTCAGCGAAACACACCCATGTAAAACTGCAACTGGCTGGCACTCTATTGGAAGGGGAATCCAAAATAGCATTCGAATTGTGGTAAAGCAAGCAAATCAGAGAATAATCAAAAATGCAGATTTTCGCGTGAGACTGTGCGGTGAGTGTGGACGATGTGTAAGAAATTCGGTCTGTGGTATTACTGAGGTCGAAATTTGAGACTGTTAAGTGACTACAGAAGCAATGCTTGTCTTCAAATATCCTTTCCTATAGGGAAAATTCTTTCAGCGATGTCAGAGCAGCAACTTAATCAATGAAACTAACACCTTTTCGCGCAGTGAATGCACAATTAACGACCAAGCAATTTTTGGAATGCGTATTTTAAAAGCCCAAGATTAAAACCAGATAAACAATTTGCTAGCATTTTGCTGGCTTCAAAACATTTCTCAATAAACAGACAGACCCCCGTTTGAAAGCTCGTTAATTCTATTCGCATTGTAGCTGCACCTGCATTGCTAAAAGCACGTACTACGTGCGAATGGGTGTCTCCGTAAAAGTGACATGCCACTCGAGAGCTACTCCTCCAACACAAAAAGTCAATCAGTGAGGGTTTGTTTTGCTTAAAAAAAAGCTAATCGTAATGCCACAGTGGGCCAGTTTGGGAATTCCATTTAGGTCCGTCCACAAAATGCAAATTAGACGTGACGAAGCGATTGATAATAACGCCTACTTATAAAGAAAGTGAAATTGCATAGCATCATTTTCGCCCCAAACTGAAGCTTGGGCGGTGGTCTTACAGATGCTTAAAAAGGGCTCATTGAATAGGAAAAAAAAGTGCGAACGAGTAGCACAAGCACACAACAGGAAAGCAACGAAAGACAAATTGAGGGGATGACATCTGGGCAATTAGCGTGATCACCGGGAAGTGATTCGGAGTGCACATGCGCATTACTAGTCGCCTCGATTGGCTGGAAAAGAATTCAAGCCGTGATAAGTGTGTGTTGACTACGAGAGGTTCAAATGGGAACGGCGGCTTCCGACCAAACAAAGAGGCAATAAACTGACAATACTTAATTTCGAGGACATTTCCAGGAGACAAGAGAGTAGCACGAGGTTGATGACATATTCAATTCCTTACCACAACGATGCGCTACCATTGGATAAGGCTACGACCCAAGCACCACAAGTCTGTAGACCATAGCAAATTAGTTTAGTCAAAGTCGAACAGAGGAAAACTTCTGTTCAGGTGGAGGGTAGAAAGTATTCCCATTACCACCAAAAAATGAAAGTCAGTGAAATAATGTGGGTTTGGTTTCGGCAAATCAAAAGCACCGTTCTTGAGAAGTGTGATTTGGCGACGTTTCAGAAACCGACCAAGATATGAGACTCTCAAAATGACTACGCTGACCCACAGCGGAGTGTTCCACAAAACCGATCTGCGTTGTTCATTAGCGGCGCCAGCTATTGTGTTTACCCACATTTTCCGCTTAATCACGGGAAAAGAACTGAGTGTGGTAAAAATATGCGACTGGGGCCAGTTTCAGTCGACGTAAATTTAAAAATGGGTAGGTGGAGTGGTGTGCCAAGGCTAGTAACGGTGTCCATGCGCCGTATCTGTGGCGGATGAAAAATGGTGCACAGGGCTAAAAATTAGGCAAAATATAATTGGCTATAGACGCGCTACTAGCGAAGACGAATGCCAAAGAGAGAAGCCTGCGATAAAGGGTCGAAGCTTGGTTCTAGTGGGACAGCGAGCCATTTTGCTACACATAGGTTACAGAGTTAATATATAAGCGAAGATCTCATTTGTTTAGTACAAGGTTGGAATAGGGTAGTCGTCTTAACCGTGTCAAAGGAGAAGTAAGCGACCTGCAAATAAACAAGGAACTACTTGTGCTCACACGTGCCTTGAAATGAAAATGAGTGGATCCAGTGAAAGTGGTTAGCGAACTGGTGTGGACAAAACATGGCTACCACCAGAGTTGAGTTAAAGACAGTTTAAATGAAAAATATCCTTAAATAAGACACTTCCAGTTGTAGAAATGCTCCAAGGAGGAGCTGTTAGTGCTACCAGCGAGTTAGTTCAAGACACTGGCCTCCGGAAGTTGATCTGACTGAATGCCTCAATTAGGTGCTTACTAGGCTAATGAAGGATGACTTGGTAGAAGGAGCACGATACAGCGGGACACTGATTAATTCCTCAAGGCGATTTTGATTAGTGGTAGTTGATGCGTAATCGCAGCATCCACACTGGCGGGAGTGTCACTTGTGGCAGGAATGCAGGCCACCGGTGCGTGTGTGTGCACGCAAGTTACCAGACATTTGTTCGACTCATAAGTTATTAGCTTAAGCACGACGTCCACGTGCACACACACACGCACACACATCCAGACTACTATTAAGCACGCTTGAACATGGTTTAATGGAGTGCGAACAACCACCCTCGGACACCGAAAACCGCAAGATCAAATTGCGGTGGGAGCTTGAACAGGGATAGTCAAAATCTAACGGGAAAATCCAAAACACATAATCCCAAAACTGAACAACGCTGGTTTCGGGAAAGAGCAGTCGAATGGGCAAGTCAATGTTCTTGGCTCGTTTTTTTTTATTGCAAGCCCACGAAGAGATCGTGCGCTAAATATCGGGCATTCCAAAGATGGTAGACCAATCACGGGAAGTCTGATTTATGTTAAGCATCAGCCTCAATAGAATGACTTCGATACATCAAGGGACCAGGGAATAGCGCACAAAGCCAAGTTACAGAAAGCCCTACCGAACGAATGCACATCCGAGGGTGCAGCAGGACAAGAAACTGTTGTTGTGCCTTGTCTGCACTGCAGATGGCAACAGAAGGCACACTGCTGGCAACGCAGACCTTGCCACAACTGGCCGAGGAGGAGGCTGGAGCAGACGAAGCACTTGGTGGGCACAGCGAAAGTGTCTGGGACAAGTTTGTGCCCTCCTGATGACGCCCCACTGCCAGAGCTCGAGAGACCGCCCATTGAGACAGACTTCTCCGACTTCGAAATTTGAAGAGTCTGGTCGTTGGGTGAGAGAACGGGTTGGAGCAACTTATGCTTCTCGTTCATCTGTAGAGGGGAAAGGGTAACACGTTGGGAGAAATTCAAATTAAGGCAACGGAAATGAAAACAGAGAGGAGGATAATCAATAACTGGGTTAGTAGAGAGCGGACATTAACTGTGGATTCGCAATTCGGGATGCCCAAACCGCCAAGGGGTTATTGACGGACAACGTGACAATGTAATCGTAAATAACCAACTAGTAGTCTTCTAAATTACAATAACGTAGATAAGCCAACGAATGTGAATTCCAAATGCATAGAGAATTGTTTTACTGAAAATACTTCATCCCAAAAAAAAAATAATAAAAACGAATCAAGTTTCTGGTCAGCGCTTAGAGGCAGTCGAGATGGACTGGTTACCCTAATACTACAGTTGACTAACAACAACGTTGTCGTTTGAGCAACTTTTTATGGTGAGCCTGACAAATCTCTTGAAAACAGCAGGCAAAAAGTGCTAGCAGCAAGCAAGTAGTCATGTGTTTGCTGTGGATCCGTGGGAATGTGAGAAGCTTACGCAGAATGGGTGGAATGTCTCAACATAGAGACAAGCATTCAAACACGAAAAGTATCAGGCTAATCACCATAGAGAGGCTACTGGAATTAACAGGACTCAATAAATAGATAGAATTCACAGCCGAATGCAAGAGTTACACCAGAAAAAAATAGTAAATGTACATTAACCAACAAAGGGAATTGACCAGGAATGGAAATGACATAATGGACGTGATATTTTGGTAGGAGTGAAACGTGCATGCACAAGAGACAATTATTTCAACGGATAGAAACGTCGATTTGAGTGTGGGCGGAACTGTGAGCTTGGGACAACCTCGGTATCCTCGTAAAACTAGACAAATTAACACAACCTGGATCTTAGTGGGTTCCTTGTGCTTCTACTAAGTTGTAATTTCAAATATGGAGAAAGTCAACTTCTAAACATACCGACAGGTACCCATGGTAAAAAGATGCTAGATGAATACAGCGAGTACAATTATGATGCAATTTATGGGAGATTTGAGGATCTGCAGTTACAAATTAAAAGGCTTGGACCTAGAATCGTTGCAACACCTGTTTTTAAAGCAGCGCTGTTTTATCGTGGTCTTTCACACGGTTTGGCTGAGATTTTTCATTGATGAAAATACCGAAAGAAAACAGTTGGCTTTCTAAGGCGAACCGCGTGTGATAACTTTACACAACATGCTTTTGCTCAGCATTTGATGATTCAACTGAAGACTGCTCCGTGTACCGCCGACTTCTTGCTGATTAAGAAAACCTGAATAGATTAGAGATTCTATTCCAATTCGAGGGGAATAGGGGATGTGGCGATCTGGTCGTCAGACCAAGTGATTTTTTCTTAAACAAAATTTTGATTGTACCATGCATATAAGTTCCGTGAGAGAGCTTGATAGGCCCACGTACTAATACCACAGGAACGTTTTACGAGTCACATTTTGTGGAATTAGTCGAAAAGACAGGATAGCAAAATGCAACACGGCAGGTCGTAGTCCGAGTCGCGTTGGCTGGTGCACGATTTTGCTATCAAAGCAGCCGAGGTGGTTAAGGCCGAGCGGTTTCAATGAATCAGGGGGCAAATACTCACCAATTCAGCCCGAATGCAAGCCGATTCGTCGATTTCTGCAGTTTTCATGCGGGACCTTCGTACTTCGGTGGTTACTGAAATAAAGAGAGTGTGTCTGCTTGATGTACTTGAAGTCGCATTAGCAAATTCATGGCCTTGTAACTGCAGTAAAACCTATAATTTGCATTGATTATTACTTTCAATACATAAACAGCGACGTTAGTGATTGAAATGAAAACGCAGGACTGAACAGTAGTTATTATGATATTTTGGAGATAAAGCCAAGTCACTCGCGGTCCAATCACGCATGTTTAATGATTTATTTCGGCGCAAAAGGCTCGCGGAGCCAGAAAGTGAGTAAACCCGAGGCCGAACTTTGTGGTAAGAATACAAAGAGCCATTTTCCTCAGAAAATAAAGAGAACGAAGAACAATTTAGATTCCAATAAAGTGACTGACCACTTGATACTAAATATTGCGTTACGACTCTTTTTGAATATTTAAAAAAATCATAGAAATAGTGCCAGGACCACGTAATTTAGAATGGTCCACATATTCAGCGACGCGATTTTCGGTTAACAACAAAGTCTTCGACTTCAGCACAGCCTCGATTTCAACACGTGGAAATGCTCCAAAAATATCGCCATTCACCGCCTTTATCCAACTTTTGCTTCACTGACTTGAATGACCTAAGACGAACAACTTGGACGCGGAAGTAAGGCAGATTTGCCAGCCTGAAATTTATGACCCACTTCAGATCCAGTTAGTGGGGTTAGGTAGAATAACAAAGTATACTGGAAGCAAGTTTGCGGATGAGGAGGGCACTCAACTTCGTCTAGGCTGGAAGGGGCACTCGGGCACGGCCTTCTACTTAACGTGGAGTTTTGTTTGGAGAGTGGTCGAGACAGAATTTGAAACCACCCAGGGATCATGAATTTGACACCGACTGCTTAATGAAAGAAAATTGGGATACAGCACGATGCGTTGAAGCTAAACGCAGAAGAACAATCGCAGAAACAGTGGTCAGTAATCCTTTTACTTAGAACAAAAGCCCGATTAAGCCTCTAACACATCAGAAACGCGCACAATGAAGTATTGCATTATAAGAAAGCCATTCGACCCCAAACATACAACTTCACCATCCCCACAGACGATGGTCAAACAAAGATAGAGAATAGCCAGCAAAGCGTGAACTACTGTTTAGTTGAGCACCTGGTTCTGAGGTATTAAATTACCCCTTTTCGATGAAGATGAAATGCGCTGGTATTCTACCTAGAAACAACTTGCAGATACCCTTACCGCTAGGACAACTTACCCTTCAGAAGCTGCTCTCGAAGATTTTCCTTCTCCTTCTCTGTGTGAAGAAGCCTGTTTGAGGTATCAGCCAGACGTCTAAAATGTCCAAGAGGCAAAAATGCGTAGTAACAAGCTTTGTGCATAAGCAAAAGAGCATGCAAAATCATTCTGTAGGGACGATTACTGAACAAATTCTGACAAAACCCGGATAACTACCGATGTGCGTCGGTTCTCACATATTTTGTGAGGGAAATTATTTCTGGAATTTGGTAAACAACATACTGCGTAGGTTTATTTCCACGTTTAATTTAAGCTGTGCCACCTGTGGACTGAAAAACCGAAATACCCCAATAGTCAGCTTTCACTAGCAAAACGGTACATGGGGTGGACAAAATCGAGTGCAAGAAAGCTTCAACGCTGCCTGTTTTGAGGCTGCGATTAATGTGGAGCCAAAGGACATCGAACGTGCAACTCACGCGGACACTTCTTCCAGCTGTGCCTCCAGATCACGGGCTCGTTGTTGGGCCAACTCACGCTCCCGAATCTCATTGTTTAGTGCCAGCTGCAGATTAGAACGCTCCATCTTGCTGATTTTGCCCGCCTTGCGCTGACGCCAGTCCATACTGGATAGGCCATTCAGGTTACCAGAGGCCCGATCCTCACCTTGACCCTGTGAGACGGCGCTAGAGGGTCGGGGTGGATCGTAGTCAATTTCCGACGGACCGTTTCTGATGCGCTGGAGGTCGGATGTTAAGCGGAGGACCGTCTCCTAAATCAAAATGACAATAAGAAGCCAAACAAAATAAACCTCCCGAAAAAGTTGTCCGATGATGCCACATAATGAAACAGAAACCGTCCGATAGAAAGAAAGTTATTACTAATGTTCTACAGACTATATGGAATAACTTATAACACCAGACAGGGTCGAAATAAACGAGGCGTTACCATTTTATTGGCAACAAACCAAGAGCTAATTCCTTTTCCGCGCAAAGTATGCCAACGTTTACATTAATACACACAGAGAGAAACAAGCAATTTGAAAAAAAGAAGCAATTCATTTAAAAAACTGCGCAAAACATGTACCCCAAACGACCAGAAGGAAGCGTAACTGCACCGAAGAGGCCAAAACACTGTTTCGGTCGTGAGGATAAGTTAGAAATAATTACGTTTTGTGTTTAGAGCTACCATTGTAAGTACATGCTGTTACACTAAGCCAAACTTGCGAGCGCCCCACAAAAGCATTCAATGTCACAAATATCTGCTAAGAAAGGCAATAATTTGACCAAGTGAGGTGAGTTCACAGAAGACTCAAGAGGATAACAGATCGAGAGGTGGTCTGAGACGAACCTGGTGGGCGTGCGACTACTTACACCTAAATTGAATGATTTGCTATGGGGTGCTACGAGTGTGTAGTTAGAACAGCAAGAGCAGATGCCAAAGACGTAGACCGCAAAAATACAAAACTTCGAGGTGATGGCAGCCAAATATTCAGAGAATACGTTTGGTCACAAAACAAGGGTGGACTCAACCTACGGCATCTAATTATGCTCGACCCAAGACCGGGATAAAGCAGACAATGGTAGCGGAGAAATAGTTGAACTGCACTTGATTGTACTTTTGACTATTTTGAGGTAGGTATTAAGAGTTGCTGTTTCACCCCAAATCCACAAACTTCAGATTCCTCGAACGGAGCCAACATCTAACAAAATAGTATATCAATGACTCAGTGTTTAAAAAAATGAACACGCACATAGAGGTTATCGTTTGCAGCCCACTCAGTATCAGCCATTTGGATGAGTTCCACCAACTGGTTTTCCCACAGCATGACACGCTGCTCCAGAGACGTGCGCAGCTGCCGCTCTTGGCGCAACTCCCCTTCCAAGAAACCGGTCTACAAACAGACAGAAAGGAAAAAAAACTACAATAACCACCAGAGGATAATCAAAAGAAGTCACCGATGTGCCTAGCGAATTCTAATTAATTGATGATAAATGTCAGAAAATAGTCCCGGAAGCTAACCTAGAGCTGCTTTAGGTTTTAATGTCAGACTAGCCACATACGAAACAAGTTGAGGATGACAGTTTCCTTCATGCGTAAGGGCGAATCGCTCAGGATGGCAGCAAAGGACGGAGCTCATTTTGGGAGGTTGATCAGGCGTTTCAGCAGGCAAAAAGTGCATTGCGTTGGTGTTTTAGTTGTGTACACGCAAAAGCAAGTTCTCTCAGCGGGACATTACACGCGACCTTTTGGCATTTTTTCACTTCAAAGCGTGAGAAAATGAGTTTTTCTCAGACAAGCCCCACAAACGTTAGCATTTACACCGACCAAAAGCACGATTAAAACTAACATTGAGCTTAACTGTATAATTCCACATATGAAATAGCTGTTGCACCCCATTGCATTAAATACAAAGGGGTGCCAAATGAACGAATTTACGTGTTTCAGCAACAATACATCTTATGTTTATCTATTATTTGGCAATATTGTAGTTCAGGAGAATCCATGTACACACGCATCAACCAGTTTGACGGAAGAGATGGCGAACTAAGGTGGTGCAAAATCAATGTGTATGTATACCTCTAGGCAGACGGATAGCCGTTTAGTAAAAGCGGTGTTCACCAGCCCCAATTTCATTGATTTAAAACGAGATTAACGCTTGGACAAAAAACGAACAGTAAAGTGCTTGATTGCGAATAAACAGCACACGAAAGGACGAACTGAGAAAAATGCTCCATCCCAAAACTATGTGAAATGACTGGTGACTGTAGGGGAAGGGCGTCTTTGCATTGAGAGAGTACCCTAACAACAAGCGCAATGGAGACATCCCACCAATGAATTGTGTGCGACTGGCGCGCACATGCGTCCAACACCGACGCCGCGCATGCATGCCACTACTGAAAGGCCGGTGAGTCATTCACAGTAGATGTGGCACGGTAGTATTGAGACACAATAAGATTCGAGCTGATATTTGGAGAGGTATACGACCGTTTACGACTTTTGCCATATTTAGCCGTCAACAATGTTCATGAAAACTGTTTCGTCAGTGTAAGCAATACGGATTAACATTCAGATTACTTAATAGTGAAGCAAAAGGGGGCGGGTTATTGGAAATGCAGGAAATACGAGGGTACTACCTCTACCCATTTAGAGTTGCCTGATATGGACAAGACAAAAGGCATTCGCCCCTAGAGTACCTAATCCGCAGCATTAAATGCTGATCCCGAAAAAAAACCGTCGAAGGCGTATGCATTCAATTAGACGAAGTCATTTGCCAAATACTAGCTTTTATACAGAGTGTACAGTAGGGAACTAGAATGCAGCAACTAACAGGTTTTACCATGAAAGAGGTTTACACAAAGCAGCCCACAAGCGCGCTAATGAGCCCTTTGATAAATAGCTCACAGAGCAGAGGTCCCAAAGCGTAGTATATTTGCACCTGCAGACATGTGACTATGGGACCAAAGTCCGTGGAATCACACAACTCGAGTCAACAGTGCGGCTCCCACCTTCAAATTCCTCCTAGGCTTGTAGCTACACGTCAATGGGAAGAGGCAGACGCCCACGTGATACACACGATGCCACCGATCAGGGTTAGCTCAAAGGACAAAGCGACATGTAAATTAAATTGAACTCGATCTCAACTTCAAAACAACGCATACATCAATGAGATATTACCACAGCACCAAAAACCCACCCTTTCAATAACGATCTCGTGAACGCGGTCCTGTAGTTCGGAGCGCTCCCTTTGCCACCGCAGCTGCTGATCGCTCCAGTAGTTTTCCTGGTTGCTAAGTTTTGCTTCACATTCCTCTGCCCAGGTTACAGCCTCGCGCAATTTGAGCTTCAACTCAGGAATTAAGTGAATTGAGTCACCAGCGCTGACACCGTTCGAGAGGTTGTTCTCCCCATCGACGACCTGTCGGTGGGGTGGTAGGTTCGTGTTCTGCGACTGCTGGATGTACTCGTCAAGGGTTTTCCGTTGTGCTGCCAACTCGGCACGCTTTTCTTCGAGGTCATTAAGAAGCTGGAGTAAGGCAAACAAATATAGTAAGGCGTGGCCACGGATCAGAAAGGCAAGATTTTGAATCATCGGATGTATGAATGATTAAGGCGCCAATGAAGTAGTTGAAGCTCTTCGATGAATGGAAAACGACCAAGAATAACCATTTTTTTGCATCGACAGCAGAACGCGATGGCTTGCTGGGGCGAAAATAAGGCAGAAACACAACCACCCAGTTTGGCATTTAGAGTCGATGCTTTGGATGACAGAAACATATTTTGCAATCGTAGGCAAGGCTTGTAGAAATAACGATGTACCAGGGTGCCCATAAAACTACGTACGACATTGAGAGTAGTGAGGACGCATAGAAGCAATAAATTTTTTGCCAATGACTACCTCATAAAAGTGCACAATCTCGTATCCCCGTTTGTCCCAAAAAATATGTATAGCAATTCCAACTGATGTCATGCCAGAATGTTGTGGATGTGGCAAGAGCTCCAGCTGACGGAGCGGAGGCACCGGTGTCCCTGATAAAGAGGTGCTTTTTAAAGTTCTTCTGTAAGTACGCACATAAGTTGTGATTGATGTGTGTGGGTGCTATGATTTGTGGTGTGTTGTCAGTCACTGCATGTTTACCTAAAACTGGAAATGGTCATGGGCTGAGCTTCAACTTGCCCAAGACACACTCAAAAAGCAACTGGGCGTGGCCGTCGTGTCATCCTTTTGACGCAGCTGACTGACTCCTGTTGCCTTACGTCCATTCCAAAATTGTACCAGAAAAGTCTTCTCATGTGAAAAGATCTCCCTAGTGTCTTGATTCGCAACACATGCACACAATGGCATGTTCGATTGCAAACAAGGAAGCACTTTGTGGATAATGGTTTTGTCCGATCAAAATGGAACTCCCAACTCGCAAACCGCCAAAATCTTCCAAGAGCTTTGTTTCCAGTTACTGTCAAAAAAATCTAGGGAATACGGTAGTACGGGAAAAAATAATAAATCCATGAGCAGACATTTCTACATTTGTTAGTCTGGCGCGGATTCATGCTAAACCGAGGCATAGGGGCATTCACTATTCCTAATAAGGCTTTACTAGCCTTCCTATTATTCCTCCTAAGCTCTTCCAAGCTTTTCGCTACACTAATCACCATCAGCCGTTCGGTTAACTTCCGATGAGTCATTGAGCCTTCTCCGTCTTCAGACACACCACGTGTCATACTGCATTCATGAAGACCATATGGCTGCTTGCTGTGTATGATCCTCCGCCTACTACTCGTTTCACGCAACACCGCTATCTTAGGTTGGCTGGTACGCAAATGCTGTCAATTGTCTCAAATTTATTGTTTAAACTATTGACAAGAATTACTTGTTAACAGGAGTTTACCGCCTTTTAGCATATGCTTATACGGAATAGCTCTGATTCCTTCTTATTAAAAGAGTAGATGCATCGTATGAGATCGCTCCAGTCAAATTGCAGAAACAATCTAGCGTATGGAGCAAACGAAAGGTCAAATATTAGGGCACTTCTGATAATGTTTGCTGTATAGAAATTAGAACACCAAAGGAACATAATAAAGCCAAAAAGATGCAGAAATTTCGAAAATTCGCATACTGCCGTTGGTTTAAGACAGAATGAAGACTCGACTCACTTGACAAGCTACATAGCTTTCAGCCTCATTGGAGGAGATACATTCGCGAGAGTAAAATGATTCTGATTGACATTGGAATAGCAATTATTGGAGAGCCCCCCCCCCGCAGAGATTACATAACTCTGATGATGTGACGCCCCGATTTAATGATTTTTTAACCTTGGAGAGCGTTTATTTTTATCGGGGGTCAAGTGCCCTCTGCTGAATTTATCCTCTGCGCTGTTTAAGGAACATCTCATTGATTTGAGGACAAACACGCATTGAATGAAGACAGCCATAGGCATTGTGTCATGGCATACCTGAAGTGATTTGCAAAAAAACCTGCTCTCCATTGGATGCCAGTATACAACTTAATTGCTAGCAGCTAACACAATAATTTGCATATGGACAATCTAAAAGTACGGAAGCGTACTTTTTATACCTCCTCATATTTGCAATCCAACAAAGCGAAAAATGTTGGCAACATGACAGATATTGTCCATTTTACCCGGCAGGATTTCCAATCACGAAGGCTTTACCTTTGTAGTGGGGACTAGTACGAACGACTATACTTTTGGCTTCTCCAAGCAGATGGCAATCGGTTAAACTAGAAGCAGGTTGCTGCTAGTCATTAAAGGCGAAGTTGTCGCAAAATGCATGAAGACTTGTGGGATGTGTTCGGGCTTGATGTGTGAGGCGAAACACCACCAATAATCAAGATTTTCAATAAATCGTGGAGGAAAGAAACCAAGACAAAATTAACGTTGGCGACACAGCCGAGACTCGAGAACAGAAGGTGCATGGGCGTCTGTGCGAGTACAGTCCCGCTCCTTGGAGTTACAAATAAAGCGTAGCACAACGACGGAGGCAACGGATTGAAAAAGTATGCTTTGAGGTCTAAGTGGGCAGACGAACACACTAGCTATCGAAATGGTGGGACTCAGGTATGTAAATGTAAGTGGGAAAATTTTGGTATTTACGTTTGATAATGATAGTCAGTAAAAGTAGATACATGATAAAAGCGAGGATGTATTCATTAAATGCAATACTTGATTCACGATTTGTAGACATCCAACAAACGAGAACATTCAGCCAACATAAGTAAGGTACTCTTACGTCAAGAACTACGGTCGTCGACGAAATGATTTAAGGACCATGAAACACAAGAAGCAGCAATTGCGATTCAAAGAGATCTTCAACAGGTCAATGTTGCAATTTAAGGTGGCCATGAGTTAATTAGAATCGAACACATAAAAAGGCAAATTTGGTAAAAAGTGAGTGCATACCTGTTCACAGGCTGACTCCTTATCCCGCAACATTGAACTGGTGTCCTGAATGCGTTTACACAAATCCTCATTCTCCTCTTCGTATTCACGAAGGTCAAATCTCAAATTTTCTGTCTTCTCTTGTTCCGCTTGCAGGCTGTAAAATAAATAGCACAGGGTTTTGCGTTCTTCAGTAACAAAAGAAGCACAAAAACCAGGCAGATCAGATCTTTCTTCTCTCGCCAATGAAGCTAAACTGTCAGTCACGATTTAATTTTACCCACTTTAATTTACACTGAGGCCAAGAACTGGCGTTAAACGATTGTTGTTTTACGCATAATCTTCACTTCGCGTTGGCGTTAGGGGATTAGACTGGAGCCTAACCCGATCAAGAACACGATGACCCTCACTTTCGGTCAGCGGTAGGGTGTGATGCGAAACACGAGGTAGAAATGAGACTAAAATCACAGGGGAGGAGGCAAAGCGGGGGCAAAAATCGACCGCATTGTCTTGCCAAAAGCGGTGGGTTAGAGGGTATAACACTCGCGTGACAATGTGGACATTTTACGCGAAAGTGACACGATATCACGCTGTTAAAAATTAGAGAAATAATATCACCATAAAAAAGCGAACAGGCAAGTTAACCAGTAACTACACGATACGGTAGGTGTAAAATGAAAGTCATTAATTCGGTGAGCTCAACGGGTTCTAAAATCACCCCATAAGGATGGAAACTCGCCGAATACAAAGTCGACAGCTTATTGTCGAATGGGTCGCAGAAACCGCATTAACGATATGCGTTAAAGATATCAAGGCAAAAGAATGCCTCAGTAGCCAATTATCCTACAGGATTCGAGAGTGTAAATGGATAGGCAACAGGCTGCCTTTTATAGGAAGCTGTAAAATTTAAACCACATTGTGTGGTTCAACACGGTGCAGTGATAGGACGGACATCTGTCAGTCACACACAGTGCACAATAACGCTGGCCAAGAAAGGCACCTAGTTGAAAAAAATCGGACATAAAATGCTGTTTTCTCGAATGCCAACACTAAAAAAATATGCGTTTCAATGTACTAAAAGGCTGCAACAAGAATGCAACTTTCAAAGGTTAACAGAAGCGGGCTGCTCGGCACGCGTTTGCAAAATTACGGTCCCGTTCGTAAATGGTAAATCCGAACTCCCTTTATAAATAGGTTTAACGACCAAACAAAATACCAGCTTGGCAGAAACAACAACTTTACGATTTCTGATGATCAAAAGAAGTCAAGTAAGCCAAACATGAGTGAGGTAAAACACGTCTGACTAAAACAACGCAATGCCTCAATATTACCAATGCCACAAAGCGAATTGGCTGAAATCAGAGAGTTGCAGATTCTCTTCTGTTATTCGCCAACACGGGTTTTTATGGTTTTGCCTCAATTCTGAGAGCGCCAATCTACGGGGACAAAAAGGACTTCAGCTTAAACGTCCCACGCGTTCGAAATAAAAATCACATTTGAGAGAGAGGGAGAGAGAGAAATATTTGCGGTATATTCTCATACACGCACGCACATAGCCAGTAATTTTACCTACACCTGTCAGCCAATTTCACATACCAACCGATTTAAACTTATGGTAGTAGCGGCATCAAAATTCAACTTTCCTTTCTTAAAAATAAATAGACCATCGGTTAACAAGTCGGGTGTGTGTGTGTGCAAAAACAGGTTCACTGACAGTACACGGAAAGATTCTACACCTCTCTAACCCAGAACTAAGGTGTCTGCTTGACCCCAGAGGTCAGAGATTGGCATATGGTGAGGAAATAGGGTGCAGGGCTGCAGTACGTCGACCTACCGAGAATGTAGCACTGGAAGGGTAAATAGTCACTGCAATATCACATCGAGGAGCAAAATTGGACAGTCAACAGAGCAATCCACTGACACGTGGTAAGAGTGCACGCAGTTTTCAAAAAGGCAAACACATTTGAACCACACAGATGACAACACCCAACACCGAAATTCCTATTAGAGGCTAACAACTATGTAAACAGGTGTAAAAGGGTCCAAAGGTCTGGTCAAGTACCTAAATGGACTGTAGTCAAACTATTGGATGTTTGAGAAGGGCATACATAAGTTACAAATCCATGTGACCGATCACGGAATAAAATGGCTGACTCCTAATACCAAAGGTCGGTTCATCGACGATATTGTTTCTTTCACAATGGATATTTCGTGCTTTCCACCAGCAAGCGCAATAAGTGTTAAAAATTAACCCATTGGATATTACTTTTGGAAAGAGTAAAACAGGTTAGGGTAACTCCTTTCTTTATAGTGAGTTGTATTTAGTATCCTTCAATGTGTTGTACTTGAGCCCAACAAATCGTGGCCATAAATCAGTGATAGAAAACTATCTAGTAGATATGTCCGGATTGAATATCCTGAAAATAGAGATAAATCCCAAAGCGATATCGTCAGATTTCAATGTCAGATGTCAATGAGGGTACTTAAAGAACAGCACTTTGTAGTTCAACACCAGAGTGATCTTTTGTAAGGAGATGTGGCAAAAATCTACATTATCATCAATTCATGATTTGTGAAATAGTTGAGAAACAACTATAAGTACCAGGTTCGAGGAAATAGCGACATGGCGAAAGGGACTTGCGATGGCACAATACGCGAGCCAAAGGTACCGTGGATCCGCCCTAACGGAAACACCGAATTGCACATGTGAACGAACAAACCACAGTGACAATACGAAGGCCGTGGGAATGTCTTACCAGAATGCCAAATAAAAAAGGCACGTGACTCTGACTTCGCTGGTAATCAAAACACAAATCAGTTTAAATTTCGCTTAGAATTCGTAGAGCGGTGAATCAAATGGCTGTCCGGACGAAGCGTTTGGTGACAAATGGTAATTCCAAGTGAAACCAACTTCTGTCCGGGTCTCTACGGATTCTGTGAGCTAGGCAAGGTGCATACAGAGCTGAAAGCAAATTATGAGGGCAAGTTTACTCCTCGTCTCACGACCATCCGCTGAAAAGATCGCAGAAAAACCTGCATGTTTTTCCACTTTAATTGTACGTGAATTGCTTAAATCCCTCGATTACTCAATGACACGTTTTGAGGTAGTATTAAACTTAACAATCGAATGCACAAGATGAGTTTATGCATGGTTACTGAAAATACAAACCGTTAAATTAACATCAGCAGCGACACCTTGTGATTATAATGACTTAAAATGTCACAAAAATAACATTTGACAAACGGACCCTTGGGCATAAAAGCCACTGTGACCACCAAAAACTTGTTGCCTCGAGTGGCTCCACCAACAAACGCATCAAACGACATGATGATGATTTCATCTAGAAACTTGACGTGTTTCAATAAAACCTCAGTTTGACACGTTTGAGAATAAATTAAGAATTGCATAGGCCATGGGAATCATAAGATAACAGTCATGAAGACCTGGACTGACAAGAAGTGATTTCTGGTACTGAAAAAAGTTTTCATGAAAAAAGTGTTCTGTGAAACAAGTTCAAGATCACGAAGTCAGTCAAGATATAAAGCTGTCGTAAATTGTGCAGAAGGAAATCCATAAAGCAGCGTAGGTTGCAAATACGCATGGATTTTAGGAATCTAGTCAGTCGGGTGATGTGACAGGTGTCAAGATGGTTGCCGGATCAGAAGTTGATCAAATATTAAACATAAACAACTTAATAAAACGGGTGAAAATACGATCCAAATGCTATGCCCCAGCCGACGATCAGTAGCAAAAAATTAACCGAAGCACTTTGGGTACGTGGATGGCAGTTAAACCAGCAAACACTCGAAGGTGGATAAGCTTCCAGCCATCGAACAGTGCCAATGACACGAGTATTCAAATCAAGGCTGGGTTGTTGCGAGAAAAATAACTTGAAAACAGTTAGAAAAACAGAGTGATGGTTCTACAAGAAAACCGCGTTCAAAATATACGTGAAGCATCAGGTGCGATCCCACTCAGCAGTAAGACAAACATAAGAACTCGCATGTTGTTCAACCACAGCAAGGATTCCCAACCAGGTGCGAAGCCGACGCGAACATATTTAGGACCATATGACAACTTGACGGCAACGCACGGAGAAATGCAAGACAACGAGGCGCTATTATTACCGAAAATTACAAACTGAACACGCGAAATATGAAATTTGTTGGCGAGTCGAGGTAAGTATCGAAGTGGAAGGAGTCATGATTATGATAGGCTATTGGGCGCCTAAGTAGAAACACAAACCATAATAACTACACAAGCGATCCTAACAGACCTTAACACACATAACCAATACCAGCGATGATGCTTAGAAAAAAAAGACGTCGGAAGTAGCGTGTCCAAAATAGCATCATTTGAAACAAATACAAAGTCTGTGAAGAGAATCAGCGGTTAGATGAGCCCAAAATAAGGTTGTGGAATGTGGATATCACACAGACTGTCTGAAAACACCCTTTTGAGGAATCCGGCCTAGCTTTTAAACTACATGAATTTGTAAAATCAACGATCAATGTGACAAGGATGACACATGTTGGTGTGAATCGAATCAAGGAAAAGGTGAACAAACACTTGATTCACTGAACCAAAAACTAGGCCCATTACGGCAAATGGACACATGGTGTTTTGGAGCTGTTACAAGATGAGATTATTGTTGGATTTAGGAGCGGGCAGGTGCGCCCGAAAGATTGCGCTACCTAACTATTACAAGGCCATCGTTTTGGCACAAGTGAGCTACAATAGTGATACAAAATCGACTACAATTAATCAAAAGGCACTGATCAAGGTCTCAAGCCAAATCGAAAGAGAGTTTGCATTTAGGCAGTCAATGGACTGAGAACTGAGAGTAGCAGGAACAGTTTTAGTAAGTTTTCCATGAGATTAACACATAAACAGACCCGATGCCATTTGTTAATGTACAATACTAACAAACAAATTTATGATGCGTGAAGCATTTAAGAGTAAACTATAACGGCGCTTTGACGTAGTAGAGGGTTATCATGCATTAAGGCTGGAAAAACAATTTCATAAAAGTGTTTGTAATGGCATGGGGAAAACTCACACTTAGGTGTGTAACGCCATCCAATCAAGTGCGTCATTGTCCCTAATTCGACGCAGCTCGCAAAAAGTCGCAGGTTTAAACGCTATCTAGTGTGCCGAAATTTTCACGTCTGCTAGAATGTTTACATGCCACCCTGCGTGGCCACTTCTGCATGTGCGCAACGACACTGCCTTTATGAGATTAAGGCCTCTACGAGGTAACCAAGAGGACGTACGCTTGGGTTAGCATTGCAATCTTTTGCTCGTCGTTGATGGAACGGGCTTCCAGTGCACCCAGGGCTATGTGAAGTTTCTTCACTTCGGAAAGGAGTTCTTCATAACGCGCCTCGGATGCGGCGAGTTTTTCCTCCGTTTCTGAGGCACCATTGACCATAGGCGAGGCTGGTGGCTGCTGGACCTTAACGGATAGCGCTGCTAGCTCCGTCTCAAGGTCTTGGACGCGTGACTGGTTAGAGAAAAGCAAAGATAAACCGAAGACAAATGTGCACATGGCTAATTATCGAATCCTACCCAAGCACAACCCTAAAAAACGTGAGCTGTTGGTGCGGAGGTTTGACAAGGCAATTAGACCCTACATCTTGAGTAGCGTGTATAGAGGACCCCAACAAGACAAATGAGAAAATATATGCATGTTTGAGTTCCCTACCATACCGACTAGCAAGGCAAGAACAAAAGCTCTTAGAAGTATTTGAGGCGACTAAAGGCACATCAGATCTACCACTCAGAAGAGTTCCAATAATGGCCGAACTTTGTTAACGAGCAGAGCTAACCCACTCGCACACCCACTTTCAACGCACTTTAAACAACACTTGACGAACGAGCTCACCTTAAGTTCACCACACTTGGTGCAGTTTTGTACAGGCGTTTGGGAGGCGACGTCATCAGCCTGCTCCATGGCCACCGCTGTCTTCCGACTTCCAAGTGCTTCCTCTAGTCGGCCTATTTGGTTGAGGGGGGAGTCCTTCGTGAAGGTGAAGCCAATGCAGGCCACCTGACACCCACGAAATACCGAACCAAGAGGTGGTCCCTCCTGCAAATTTAACATGCAAATTCATTCATGCCCGAAAAGGAAGTGCAAATCAAAACTGCTGACACGAGGAATCAAATACCAACAGATTCATAGATATTCGAAATGAACATAGAATTGAAGTAGGCAAGCGAGCGGACGGTATTCTGTCAAGTTATGAAAAATGGGTTTACACGCCACCAAAATTTTCCCTGAGATCTTAGGTCCAAATTGCAAAGCAAAAGGACATATAAGCACAACTATAGATATTTTCTTCACGTGCACAGTTTTGCGAAGAGGAGTGATGTGATACCCTGCTTCAATGCGGATTTGAGCATAAGTTGAGGTCTTCCGATGTTTTTTTGCAATTCAGCCTAAATATGAGTCGCAAAAGCAGTCACGGCATTAATGGAGCAGACATTGCTTACCCAAAGCAGAACAAATACAAGGACAGATTCAATACCCTAGAAGCTTTAGGTTCATAACAAGGGAGTTACTTTCCGAGTCTCATGTCCCATGCAACAATTTTACAAATCGCTTGCAATTCAGCGGCAAAAAGATTTAAACAGCACAGGACATATTAGTGTCAAGTCAGTGTTAACTTTCAGAGACAGCGGGTAATAGAGACATAGTCTCGGACGTGATTTAGCCACCCAGAACCAAGTATTGTGACGCAGGCTTGCAAACGTTTTTATGTAGTGTGGGTGAAGTAGCCAAGTACTCACATAAATTTAATTCCTTTTATATAATCCCAAATGAACAATTTGGTGTTCGATAAAATCCGGTTATAAAGGAACCCATGTCTCACCAACAAAAAGCAGTAATTTGGGCGGGCACACAAACCAAGGAACACACTGTGCACAAAACCTGGATGATAGAAAACCGGAAAGCTAACTGATGTGACTAGCGTACAGCATATTATCCACACTCAAAGGCAACACTGATAGCCTTAAAAACGATCTATCTAGGGTTGGCGTAACTGGCAGTGGCCGATATGAAGGTTTAAGGCCAAGTTATCTGTCGGACATGCATTCTCACACATTTGACTTGGACGCAAGGCAAGTGATTCAGTTACACAATCTAGTGAAGCGACGTCAGTGTGTTTGTACAACTTTAGACTTGTGTACATTCTAAAACATACAGATCCAATGCACGGGTCCCTTGATTTTCACTTGAAGCCACGGTTTATTTTTTTGGAAATGTTACTTCCAATACTAATTTCTATTTGAGCAACGTCCGCAATTACGCGGAGCAAGGGTTTTGGCAAAATAGAAGAATCATAGCAGAAAAATGAAAAATTAGCAAAGAATTAAAGGAAAATAATTTGGAAAAGCAGAAGAACGCATTTAATGTCGTAAAATAGTTGCAGCATGCAAAGCTAGTTCCGAAATTAATAATAAAGACGTACAAACGAATCGACAGATTCATTAAAAGACGCACATATGAGACCTTAGGACATACCAACCGGACCTATGTTCAAACCTTACCTAACAGCAATTATTTAAATATAGACTACCCAAATTGGGACATTAATTTGTCCAGAAGAGACGTTTACTAGTATCCATCACGTTAGTTCTAATCACTGCATTGGAACAGGTGCATGATTTCAAACAAAATAAAGAAAAGTAATAGCAACAACAACCCAACGCACGTGAGTTCGCGTAGTTTCCTCGATGTCGAAGTTTGAGGTGTCCTCGGGAGATTTGACTTCCGGTTGGTACGGCGCAGGTTCTGTTTTATACAAGGAAGGATATGAGGTGAAAAATTAACGAAACGGCGAGGAATATTGCGGGTGAATCAATCGATGATTACTTACGAGAGCGAATATTCTCCCAGTCAATACCATTAAAGAAAGGATGGTTTACAATTTCCTCGATACCATTACGTCCATAGCGTTGCTTTCTATCACAAATAAATCGTTTGAGTAAATCTTTAGCAGCATCCGAAACATGGCCTTCATCCTCAGGGATCTTGAATGTTTTCTAGAATTACGAAGCACTTTAATTAAATCTGGAATCTGGTGTATAGCTAGGTAGGATTTGTGATACAAGAAAACAAGGTGAAAATTTTAGTAAATACTGGAGTATATCACTATAAAAAGAGTAAATTACCTCAAAGTTCATAATTTGGCTGTAGGTTTGGATCAGATTTTCGCTATAAAACGGCGTCTCACCAAAAAGCATCTCGTACATCACAACACCCAGGGACCAGTAGTCGCACTCAACCCCAAATGTCCCATGCGAATCCTCAGCAGCTCGAAGAATCTCTGGTGCAATGTAATCTGGAGTACCTATAGCAGCAGCATTCTTAATTAGTCCATCATTTCCTATCCGAAGGCAGGAACCAAAATCCGTCAAAACAATGTGGCCGGACCTAGATGGGTGCAGTAGGACAATAAATAAAAACTTACGTTTCTAGGAGTACATTATCCGGTTTTATATCCCGATGGACGTAGCCAAGATCGTGAAGAGAATGTATTGCAAGGACAAGCTCAGCCAAGTAAAATCTAGATATATGCTCGGGAATCTGATCATCGAATTTGCTTAACATAGTAAGCATGTCACCACCATTATAAAATTTCATGACAAAATACTGAAAATGAACACAAATATGTATTACCAGGTATTTTTCATCCTGAAACGTATAATGGAGCTGTGTTATCCATGGGGACCCCTTTATCATTCCTTTAACAAGAACTTCACGCTCCTCCTGGAAGCATGCCCTCTAATTGAAGAGCATTACAAACAAAAAAACCACTTTACGTCTGAACGCTTCAACATATCATACTTATGCAAGGATTTAAGAGCGTAGAACTCATTTGTTGATTTTGAGCGTACAAGGGAGACTTCGCCAAAGGCTCCTGATCCAATTAGCCGAATCGTTTCGAATTCAGAACGAGATAAACGAAAGGACTCAATCTTTTCGACGAGAGGTTTGACTGACAAGTGATGTCAACAAAAACACAAGTACCTGATTTACAAAATTTTAGACAGTTTCGCTCATTTCTATGTTGCAGTGAACTACATTCATAGTAAAGACATGTTAAGGTGTCGAGAAGGAATTCAATATTGAAACTGCCAGATTCATCCGAATAATTATTCAGGTAAAGGTGAAGAAGCTCCTCACAGCGTTCCTTTATCGTCCTCATTTCTCAAATATAGTAAGGACAAGCAAAAATCAACTGGCCACTCTTGTCCATAGAAACATTGGCGCAAAGCCAATTAAAAGTAACACAATGAACATCAAAAGACGCGCAGCTACTAAGGGCGATTAAAACATACCGTACATTTTAATTACCAAGATCTATTGCCTCATTTACCACACAAATAATAAATATATTTAAATTATTGCAGTTGTAAAAAACGTTTTCGACAAGTTGTCACCATATTTTTGTATAAAGTTAGCTTAAATATTAAATCCATGTTTTTATCGAGGACATTAATGATGGATATTAGTTTCACGTCAAGGTAATCGCACTTGAGAATCAAACTCCCTTTCTTTAAAGGAACGTTGCTTGCTACAATAAATACATATTTTTCCACGTCACTAATGCAATACTGTCTATTCGATGCTCAATGCAATCATGCAATGCTGCTTTCTAGGATTTATTATTATGGTGTTCCATTTCAAATGCAATGCAAAAGAAACCATAGGCTGCAAGCGTATTGTGCTGAGTAAATAATTTTTAATGTATTCTTGACTGCCTTCAGCCCGTTACGGTTTATCGGAAAACATTGTTAATGTAAAACTTAAATTGAATAATTTTTCCTAACACATCCATTGTCACTTTCACCTATTCCATTAGCCAATGATTTTGGTATTCCACCGAAGAAGTAATTTTCCAAACACTTGACCTCTGATTGCTTTGTCAATTTCGTTATGTTTTTAATCAGTTAATCATATTCGCTGAATTTCACAGACATTTTGTTTTGCCTTATAATCCCAAGAATGAGTATTCAACAAATCGTGAAACAAAGTGTCACTTGCCAAAAGCGTTAGCCGTTTTGCAGGATTCATTGGATCATGTTTAAAAATAATGCGTAAATTTTTGGACCTAATGAAATTTTACGCAGACAGACAGACGGCAAATCAACATTCATCCAGGCATAAAAAATTGTCAAATGGCCATCTCGTTCGTGTTCGTCTACGCTAGCTCTCTAAAATCTCATATTCAAAGGCTTAAAAATTAAATCAAGTACATGTATTAGCATGGAATATCTCGACACCCAGGCATTGTCTAGTCATCTGCCTCACATATTGAATCAAGACAAGACGTTATTGAGTTATGATCACGCAGTGGTTATCATGTTGCAAACTCTGTCAATTTACCGTTGACACAACAAGAAAATTACAATTTTCCTGACCAAATCTGGTGAAACGTATTACCAGATCCCTGCATGACCGTCTGGTAGTTAAATACCATTATTGCAGGGAATTTTAGTTTGTCTGGATTTCTAAGTGTAGCTTAAGCACAATCCTATCTTGCCTGCATTTTGTTTGTTCACAAAACGTAGCGTTCTAATAGTCAATAAATTTCAAGAACACTTGAAACAACTTGAGTTAAACTTCCGCCATTTTAATGAACACGGTTTAATAATCAACCCACTATATTGCGTTTTCGAATTGATTGTGTGTACCGTCTTTGTCGAAGGGTAAAGGCCTACCAACATCAAGATCGAAGAAATTTAGGATTTCCCGGAACCATTTTTTTCAGTCAACTTCACCGTTTCACAGGCATGACTCAAATTCTCCAGCAGGTTTCTAACCAACAGGGTCTAGAATCTTCAGATTTTGACCAGTCTACTAGAGGTTAACAATAAAAGTCTAATTATGGCCGCTGAGGCACGTGAAGGTTTTTCAGCCTTGAATGAGGCTCTTGTAGATTCCACTTCATTTGTCGACCCGCAATCAGATGTATCTCTGTACCCGTTAACCGTTGACGCAGTATAACACCATTTCATCAGCGTAATAGCGCAGCCATTAAACTACTTCTCAGACACGTTCATTGAAACTCAAAATCGGTCATCGCTGTCACTAACTTTCTCCAGTAGGGAATTCTGAGTCAAATTACTCAATTAAAAAGGACAGAAGCCAATCCAACAGTATCATTAGTTCAAATCAGCATAGATGACTTGGTTCCATTACCTCTTCAAGATTTTATGTTTTAACATTATTTACTTTAAACGTTTTTAGATATTTTAAGCAGAAGAATTTGCAGCCTTCCTGCAAAACAAACCATTTTACAGGCCATCACCCTAACGGATATACGGAGGTCGACCCCAGGAATACTTAACAGATATTTCAGGGATTTGATTACAACGGGAGCGATTGCCTGTTATGTAAATCCCTAAATTATAGCCCTAGAGTATAAATAACATCGCTAGAGGTGTCAACAGACTGCTGCGCGGAGGAATGATGACTGAAGCTTGTGATTACAGCCTCCTTCAAGAGGTTTACAGTCATTTCCAGACTTGTCTACGTCACATGAGATTATCGACAGACGGCGGACATGAAACTCGAAGCTTCAAACCGTACTTTCACCTCATTTTAGAATTGATAATAGGGAAGCTGATCTGACTAAGAGCAAGACGTTCGGACATAAGATCAAATTGCGCACTTTGCCGTCGGTACAGTTTGCAATCCAAGGTAACTAGAGGGGCATTGGAAATTGCTATTGACCAATGGTTTACCCAACGATGCGATTATTTGTGCCAATAAATTTAATTATCAACAAGCGAGTATCTAAATTACGCAGGATCTGAAAGTCCCAGTGATTGACATGCATTATAGATAGTGGATATGGAACTATTTACAGTTATCTTGGCATTAAAGTGAAAAACAAGCAAATCTTAGACCAGCTGAAATAAAAACAAACCCAAAGAGAAACCTCAACTCCTTGAAGTGAAGTCACTGAGAAATATGCTGCAGCCAGAGGAATGCCTTCAATTAAATTGACGTGTCAGAAAAAGTACAGCTTTTGATTTCGTTTCATTTGCTCAAAGATGTCAGATGGTTCAACTGTTGCGCATAATCACTTGGATATTTAATAGAGAACAATGGAGCTTGGATTAAATGGGGTCAAATAAACCGAGACAGGTTCAACACTCAAATGCGCCAGCGGTTGCAAATAAAACGACCGACGATTACAGAGTCCAAAAAAGAGGGGTTGGGGCAAGGGAGGTAGGAAGAGAGATGGAAGAGAATGTAAAACAAAGAAAATAACTCGGGTAGCGGGGCATGTGTGTGTGTGTATAGGGATGTTTATTGGGAGCACAGCCTGGTTGGGCAGAACTAGGAAATGTCCTGTATGACAACAACGCCAAAGGCAGGGAAAGGGAAGTTGGGTGCCCCTGTGGGTATGAAAAATAAGTGTCGTGGTGTTGGCAGCGATGAGAGGACGTGTGGCTGGGCCGGCAGTTTACCATTTTCGAGGTTGGGTCTGATGATCTACTAGGTTAGAGAAAAGAAAAGGTAATAATATTTATCATCAGAACGAACACCCACACGCAAGAAATCAGTTTGAGCGGCCGTAGATTAATTTCCCAAGTTCCTCAAATATTTGCCGATAATTGAATGAAACGGCAGGTTTGAGGAAGACCCTTACCTAATTCATTGAACAAAAAAGGCAGACACATTCTTTAAAGTCAGTTAATCAGGTAACTCCACAAGTTTTAGGCACGACAAAGCCTCTTAGTAGGTCAAACTTCAATTCGATGCTTTCATAGAAAGAACTTGAGATTACAGAAAATGGAACGGCGTGAAATTTCGAAGCAAGAACCAACGTGTCGGTTGTTCATCGGTAGATCTGTGGTCAAGATGGCCTACGAATGCATCGATTGCATCTACATTTCATGGAAGCAATAAGTTGCGTCAAATAGTGCTAGTCACTGTTTGTAGAACCAATCGATGAGATTGCTTGGAGTAATACAGATTCAAAAGACCAAATGATTCACCGACAAACCGTCTGCCCCGACGAAGTTGATGTCAATGCAACACACAGACCTCGTCACTAAGCTGCGTAATGATACAGAAAGCTCTTAGCAGTCATGGCGCCAAAAATACGGAGTTGGCAACGGTGTGCCGCAGACATACATTACAATCCAGAGAGTCAGTTTGCAAAAAAAGAAAGCTCATAGAGCCTTAGTAGGGGAAGCTACAATGACTTAAAAATACCCAAATGTTTGTGACTGAATAGTGCTCAGATGGTCAGACTAAATAAACTTAAAACTTTTTTTCAAACCTGTAAAATATGCATAAGTTTCGTTTGGGCATATAAAGCAGTAATCTGAGTGATAAAAATGAGAGATTGAAGCAAATTAAAACTTTTTTCCACTCGTGAAGTTAGGTCGAATCCAAAGTGTCAGGAATCTCACATTAGAGTATTAGAACGTCTTTGGAGGTGAGTCAACGCAAAACAGCCGGATCAGCTAGTAATAAACTCCCAGCAACTTTGTTACCGTTTCACACTCGCCATAAAAAGTCGCAGGTCGCAATTTTAACGGTGATTTTAGTTTGTGGTGATTTGAATCACTTTATTCCGCGATACATTGCGCCTAACTCCGAAATCACACATAGTACACGGAGGGACATAAATGGCATCGCATTAGGGGGTTCGGAAGTGCCAAGGCACGCTCGAATTCCGACTGGACATTTATTGGCATGAGCTTAACAGGGCAAGTGACACAGAGAAACGACCGCGGTACGCTGGTGTCGGTCAAGGCGCCCCAAGGAAACTGGGTGTGCCGATCAACATAACAACAACAATAATAATAATTAAGGCTACAGATTCTATAATTGTCCTTGTTCAATTTTAGTAAAAAGTTTGCCTTATACCTGATATAAAAACATCCTAGTACCACCGCAGCGGAAGAGTAAAATAGCACTAGAACTTTGGTTTAACACAGAATTATACAGGATGAAGGACATGAACCAGGAACTGCTAGGAGAAAGTAATGTGATAAGTGTCTGGTCTATCAATATTGGAAATGATGTGGTGGCAGAACATGATACACGGACACGTCGGACGCCCTTCTTGTGCAATCGCCTTTATAACATTCCTCCATTCATAACATCAATCGCATGTCACGGCAATTATTCGATGCTAAGTGAGGTACATGGATGAAGGTACCTAACTCCATCGTAAGACTTCACATTTCTAAGACGGAAAGGAAAAAATGCAAAAAAATGTGTGCGAACGTCCACAGTAGATTAGGAACACCCAAAAAGCCTAAAGGAACACATTGCATCTTACGGTATCATTCAATATAATTTTGAGATAATCTGTTCAAAAAAAGTTCAACTCAGAGAACGACCACCTTTGACAAGACAAAGCGGTGGATTCCGACAAAAGCCGGAACATTTAACAAAATTAATTGAATTGTGTAGGAGATTTTGCGACTGCAGGTTCGAAATAGGGCTTAGTATAGCCACCGAAGAGTGTGCTGCAGGATTAAAACAAACGGCAGTAAGCAAAAAGTCAAACCACCAGATTTTTCTGAGAAAAGTTTATGCAGAGAATGAAAGACATAACAATTTACTCCTTTGAGGTGCCCTGTTTGACCACTAAACGCATGTTCCCCAAACTTCTCACACCTCCAAAAAAAAACCAACAACAAGTTTGGGGAGACAATCGAGCCCCAATCGGGTAATCCCCACTACCCAGACACAAGGAGCGTAAAACAGTGCGTCCGGGAATGCACGGATCAAGTGAAACCCGTGTGAGTACGCGCTGCAATTCATACACAAAACAGGCTTAACTTAAAAACCCCAAAACGCGGTGACGAGTGAATCTGCTGTTAGGGCTAGAAGTTGCACAACAAACAACACCACCGATGAATACAATCACATGTCGATGTCCAAGGTCTTGATAGTTACCCCAATACAATGCATTTTTAATTCCGCGTAGATGATGGGACCTCGTGAGTCACCAACGAGGAGCTCTATGAACGAACAAGGATTGTTCGAATCGTAAGTACAAAATATCGCTATTCTTCTAGGAGCGCCAATCAAAAGGAAAGCGATACAACGTAGTTGCTGCAAGCGTCGGGCAAAGCGCACATCCAAGAAGCAAACGAAAGTGACCGGTGCGACATCAACGCCCTAAACACCAGCAGGATGAGTCACTAGAGGGAGACAGCTACCAGCATCATGAACACAGCGCGGGAATATATTTGCACTAGTTAAAAATAAGCACACTGCAAAAAACCCTGGCCTGAAGTTCAACACAAATCGGCGAATAAACAGTTATCTTGGCAACAATCGTCGTTAAAATTTTAGGGAAGCAACCAACACGAAATACATGTCCTCCTCGTGTTTTACTGCTGATTATCACTTTCAGATGAAACTTGATGAAAAGCGACGAACCAGCGACACGGAAGCAACTACCCAGTACTGTGTTGAAATCAGTTGATGAAAACTATGACTACGAAATAGCACCATACGGTATAAACAAAAGGAGTCATACAAAATGAAAGTGATAATATGGAATTGCTTTTGTTGTTATTGCATAAATTCTCGGTACATAATTCAAGAGCCGTCCTTCAGCATACAATCTCCGAATCGCACACAAACACATCGGCTTCTAATATAGCATAACCTAAAACGGCAGCAAAAAGAATCCTTAAGGTCCGTTTAGACACCAACCAAAAACTGTCGTTTACAAAATTGACGGAACTACAAGGCGACTGATCGATCCCCGCTACTTGGGTGTTTGTTAAGGCTGTGAACTGCGAAAGCAAAAGAGGCAGGCTATCTTCCCACTGGGTCTGGATTGAGAAAAGCTACGTGAAGTTTGCCTATAGCGCAGTAAGTGCATTACTAGAAATAACGCATCTTAGATTTCAAACTAAGATAAATAACAGTAGTAACTCAATCGCGACGAGGTCACTCCTAGGCACTGGCTCCAAGGGACAGGATTTCTTTGGGATAGTTGGCATAAAATTTTCGGAAAACTCGTACAACAAACACAATACTTACGTGAGGCGTTTACTTCTTGGGAAGGAATGAAGACTTGTTTTTAGCACCCTGAAAAAAGGATAAATCGATTTGAAGTACCGATTTGAGAAGGGGAACGGCGGTAAAGGTAAGGGAGGCGTAAAATTAGGCATTATGAAACCACTGTGCGACAATCAGATGACATTCACGCAGAAAAATTAAATAAAGTCATAAAAATACCCTTTCCGGTTGGAGGGTTTGCACTTACAAATCACCACGTGAGGCGTTTAAAATAAGTGGAACGATTTCAAAGGTTTATAACAGCCATATACATTCATTCAATGACGTTCAAGTAAGTCTTAATCATTAGTTGCATCTGCCGTCTTATAATTAACATAAGGCCTAGGTTTTCTAGTGGTACCCTTTCTAGTGAGTCCCGCACCAAGAAGTCGCAGCTTAATCAGGAAACTTCCTAAATTTTCAAAGAATATAAACAACACGAGCCAAAATTCATATACACACTTAAGCGTCTACATTTAAAACTTAACACGTAAATGTGAAACAATGCTTTCGGGGTTACGAGAAGTTAGCCTACCACAGATGTGTTCACGACTAGGTGTTAGTTTTTGCTAACTACCAAGGATTGACAGTACAACGTGGTGTTGATATTCTTAATTTTCACCGCGCTAACACAGCTCTTTTGCAAAATGGTGCATTTAATCTCAAGGAGCGAACCCAATCCTTTGAGAACAGTCTAATGCATGCGCTATTGACGAAGATTGAGGTGAGTAGCATATTGCATTCTTGCACCAAACCCAAATCTATCGATTTAAATGGGTGGCAACAAAATTACAACTAACCTCAACTGCTTTGCCAGAGCGACCTGCGCATTCCTCGATGACTTCAGCGGCTTCGAATTTGCCTAGTCGGCGATACAGGGCGCCAAGATTTCGGAGTGTCGTGGCCACAGTAGAACTAAAACAAGAATGGGACACAAACACTTAGTTGTCGTAACTCCAATAAGTAGTGAAAAAGAAGAGTGTAGGAGTTAAGTCGATTCAGTTTTCGTGACGACAATAATAGCCGAGAAGCGTAAAAAAATTACACATGTTGGAAGAATGGAAAATACGTCAAGTCAATACGAAGATACATTCGTTTATTTCTACCGATATTTATTTATCAACTTCCTTTCGATTCGACCGAATTTAATAATATACCTTAGAGTGGTATCAATAAGGTGGTTGAGAAAAAAATCTATAAAAAATCTAAGAATAGAAGACTTATTAGCCATGTTAAAATGGAGCAATTTGAGAGATACAACTCACTTGTTTAATAAGAGACAATTAATAAAGCAATGGCTTAAATCAGAAAACTATAAAGTAAAAGTCACTGTTGAAGATCATTGATAGCTTTCCACTGAAGTTAACCCATGGATGAGACGCCGCTTATAACAATGCTATGACCACTGAAATCACGAATAAGAAACAAAACGCTGCAGTTAAAAAAGCATATGGAGACTAAATACGGTGGCTTATATACTGTCGGCGGAATGACTAAGGCTAGGCGTCCATTATGGTGATAAAATAGGAACATAAAGATATTGCGAGAGTTTGCGGAATTTCATTAAGAGCCGGGTTGCGCAAATCAAGCGCTAGGCTAACAGCATGGCAAAAAACTACATTTAGTAACGCTATAAACCAATTAGCACAGTAGGCGTTTTTAGACAGAAAAAAACCAGGAAGGTGAACACACCTAAGCAATAGAGGGGTTTAAGGTCATACGGAGTCATTAGGTATGGTGATTCAGCCATACCTAAGTTCCGGCATGATAGCTTCGAGCAATTTGCACACATGGGAATAAAATCAGTTTCCCACACACTTTACGAATCGGTCGTCACTCATGGGACTCGGAGTTCCACGTTAGTGCTTCAGATGGTAAGCGTAAGCATGTAAACAATAATGTATAATAAATATGCAATCATAAGTTGTGATTAGTAGGGCTAACTCGTCTCAGATTACATTAACAGAACACTAAAAGATCATCGACACAGTCAAGTTAACATACCTCATTCTACCACTGAGAAATCGGTGTGCTTGCGGCACACACACCTTTTGTCACTCTCCAGACATTTTTCCCCAGTTTTTCATCATATATGCAGCTACGATTAGGACTGACGCAGTCTTCGTCCATTTAATTTCCCTTCCACACACTAGTTTTTTTTACTTCAGGGAAAATTTGAATTAACTTTTTAAAGGGGATAGGACGACATCTAAAGTTCTTGTGTAAGTTGCGACCGACAGTGTAGTTAAGACAAGGCCACTGACAGACGGGATATTGCCAACTTAATTTCCGCAAATAAGACAACAAAATCGTAAAACCCGTTATGATTTTAAGCAAGTGTTGGCACATAGATTTGTACCTAAAACACCCAAGCCAGTTGGAACTTACATCCATCATAAAAAAGGAAATTAAAATGCACACGTGAGTGTTAGCATGCACTATTACAGTTAAGGAAGTGATTTTAAAGCATCCATTGAGGTAAAATCTATATGTAAAAGACAATTACAAATGAATCCACACAAGATTTAGGAATAGAAAGAATAAACGATTTCCCAATTAGATTAGTTGCTAACGTCTGACACAATATAAAAGAGGATCTAACAATACTTCAATACATTGCAAAAAACAACAGACGCAACAAATAAACGTAAAAACATCCATGAAACGGGTTTACTGTTGAATGTCGGCGGGTTGCCATCAGTGGCGACGGAGATCACCCCGACGGCAACAGGTTTTCACTCGCACAAGGCCTGTTGACGCGGGAATATATTTTTAGATATTAGAAACTTAGTTTGAGCTGTTGTCATTTCGATACTATAAATTAGTTTTTCTTGGAGGCAATAGCTAAACGGGAAAGTAATACGATCGTGTACGAATTCAGTGAAAGGAAAAAAGGGGTCAAACGCATGCAAGTTCGATCTGTGTATGAATTTGGGATCTTAACCGCAACTGATCACAAAGTTAGTTAGGTGGCGTTATGCGTCATTTCTGAAATGGTAATGCGCGGAATAACAATACCACCTTAGAAAGAGATGAAAACCAACGGCACTAGGAGGAATTCACTTTATACCTTTTTGCCATTTTGCTGAATATGAAAGGCATCTGCTAAACCATTAGCATTGTTTACGACAAGAAGTAATGGATAACTTACTTCTCCATTAGAGCAGACCGTTGAGCTATCGCCTGACTTGTAAGAGCAGGATTGAATTTGCCGTTCTGCCTGTCTTCGGCAATCATCCAAATGGGCTTATTTGTTTCTGATATCTTGCCATATTCCAATTCATGGGCTCGAGTAAGAACTTCCTTGTAAAGAGCCTCAGCCTCTGCATACTTGGCTTGCTTCAGGTATGCCGATGCCTAGGCAAAGATAATGTCTTTATAAGAATTTCGGAAGACGACCTATTCTGCTGTCATGCATGTACATAAGATGGCGCTGTAGACCAAATTAATTGAGCGTAAATTGGGGGGCGGAATGTCAATGTATTCAAGCATGCGACGAAATGAACCTAGCAAAATCGAGTTAGACTTATTTCGATGGAAAAGGCACTTCCTCTTACTGCCAGAAGGACGCAATAACTTATCTTCCCGGCAAGGAAATGCGAAATAGATACGTACACCTAGGTTCAAAACTTCAAATTGCGCTAATTTTGCATCAGTTGGTTGTGACAAGTGTGTAGCAAAAAGTACACATACCAAGTTAGTTTTCGTCTTGGCAACATTGGGATCGTTAACACCAAGACAATTAATGTAGATTTCCAGAGCGCGCTGGTAGTACCGCTCAACCTGACCGACGAAGGGCACACAAAAACGGCGAGCAGGCAGTCAATTCAGAGGCATTCGGGTGTACATGAGCAGAAGTCACAACATTGTGCGCATGCGAAAGGCCAACAGGGAGAAATGAGAAAAGTAAACGTAGTACGCAATAAGAAGTAAAGATCATGCAGTAGATAACCCTAAATTGGCTCATGCACTTCGGTATTGGCGGATTGCCTCACCAGAGTCGTGAGAGTTTTGAAGACCCGTTGGGGTACGTCGCTTTTCTCGAATATACGCTGGGCTCGGCGCAAGTACTCGTACACCTGGATATGCAGGCAAACGCAGACCTTGTTATCAGTAACTAATTAAAACAGCCTAAATAATGTTCCTGTGGTTTAGTCTGCATCATTCACTTAGAAAAGCAGGAGATGGGGATGTTGGCGTGAAACATTGAACAAATCTTTACCTCCGCATATTTGCCCTGATTTTGACATAGAAGGGCCAAGTTATTCAGCTGTTTGGTAACATCAGGATGATCAGACCCAAGGACCTAGAATAATGATGTTATTATGGTGCATTTTCCAACCTTTTCCCTTATTTCCAGAGCCCGTTTGCAAAGCAGCTCCGCTTCCCTATACTTGCCACGCTTGCCATAAAGAACTGCTAAGTTGTTCAATATGGCGGCAACCTAGCCAAAAGAAGATAAGATGAGCAAAGACCTACGGCTGGATGATCAGGGCCTAAATGCTTTGCACGAATAACTAAAGCTTCGTTCAGAAGAGCCGCTGCATCCTTGTACTTTCCTTGGTCTCTAGGTTTAGGATCGAATTATTTGACACAAAAGTACTTGTAGACAAGAGCGAGTATATTATGGATAGTCGCAACATCTGGATGGTCACGACCACTTGATCGCTCCAGATCCTTCAGTGCCTGTTTGCAAAGGGAGACCGCGACCTCGTAACGATCCTCACCAGCATACTGAACGACCAGGTTGTGCAGTGTACGCAACCTTGCTGAAATTTCGTAGTTGCTTATGATTTGGGACATCACAGTTGTCTGACTTGAGGACATAACTAAATTAAATCAGCATTTAGTACAATGCAACACACCATCTTGATCATGTTCATCCTTCTCGTCGAGGTTCAATTTTTTGTCGTCTTTGCCTCCAGCATCATTACCTGGCGGGCCACTCTGGTCAGGTGAGTCGTACTTACTAATTTCATTTACGAATTTTAGGTGTTTGATCTCCTCTTCAAGATTCACAACTTTAACCTCACTCTGACGATATAAGCCCTGGACAGTTGCTAGTTCTTCCCTCAACCACGCATTCTCCAGCAAGAGACGTTTGCACTGCGCCTCCAGTCTCTGCTTTTCGGCCTCAGAACTTTGAACGCAATCCGATACAACTGTGATTTCCTGAAAAAATAACAATGAATGCAACTTCATGCATTTCCATCTTCAAGAGCCTGTTCAATCTTCTCTACGAAACATTCTAACGATTCGATTTTCGGCGACTTGGGTTGGCCGTTCGACCTGCATCCCTTTAGTAAGTCCTCTAGTGTTCATTTCGAAGAGACTCCAATACTTTCATCGTAGAACGCAGCTGCGTCATTATCTCGGATTGTGATAAATCCTCCATCGCAAAATGAATAAACAAAACACGACGAAAACGGTGAGGCAAATGTGGCCCCCAGACTGCAAATAACACAACAATGGCGTCAATAGTTTAAACCAATCAATAAAGAGCAAAGTCACAATGGGGGAAAACTTAGTCAAGGAACAGCCTCAATATCTATTATTGAACTTTTAGGGCAACAAAAACTGTTCTTTCATTCGCACGTATTGGTGACTTTAATTATCCATTGTAAAAAAAAAATTTGGCTGCAGCCAAATGCCAGCCACAAAAGTTCTCTCTAGTGTTAAAAACATGGTCTGCATTTTCCGCGTGTGTATTGCATCGATGGCAGTTAACTTAAATTACACAGTGGTTTAGTTGGACTAAGTGCGCGAAAAATTAGTGGGAACTACTACTGCTTCTCATTCGTGTCTTTTTCTGGTTGGCTGCCTATCTTCCTCGCATGACATTGGCTGAAGCCAGGTGGTCCAATATACCCGTCGCTACACTGTCTCCCCCTTAGGAGTGAAGTTGTCCTTAGCTTCTGGCTTGGTTCTTCGCAATGTTCAAGATTGTTCAAATATTCAGTTCGACATTGCTTTAAACTCTACATCTGGCAGGATAGTGGCTCAAGCGAATAGTTGACGTGGGACTTTGCTCTTGTAGACTCGCAGGAAGGCCACTTAACTCATCGCAGGTTCTTTCTCCACTTGTAGACCAAGTGACTTCTACTGTCCTTTCCGTCGTCACTGAGACCCCAATGCCTCTTCAGATGCAGTGGTCATAATCCTGGGCAATGTCTATGGATCCAGCGTATGGGAAATCGGATGACTGCCATGACAACTTCAGCTTTTTTTAATGGTCGTTGCCTCATTTATCAATTTTAGGGAAAGGACTGGGGTTCACTTCGATTTATTCGAATGCTTCTGCTGCCACCAATGTAGAGTACCCTAGCCCAAGTATGAATAAGACTGGTACAACAGACAAGGCTTTATTGACCTATCACAAGCCAGAACCACACGTCAGGCGTCTTTCATCCGAGTCCACGATGCTGGCCACGCCACTCAATATATAGTGCTCCTCATTCGTGTCGTTCTATGGTTGGCTACATCTCTTCCTCGAATGCCATTAGATCGCAGTAAGACAGAGGATTGGATGAGGCCAGTGTCCAATATGTCAGCGACCTCAGGCATCACCACCGTAGGGTTCCGCCCCATGGTATGGTCAAAAAGAAAGAGAGAATAAGGCAAAAAAGAGTACTTAAATGAAGGCTGAAACAAGCCACAATCTAGTCACAAACAGGTCGGGCGTAAGGGGGAAAA